TTCGTATTAAATTAATTTAAATTTATTGTATATGTTATTTTTTTTTTATCATGTTGCACTTCGTTTCTTAAATATTTTTTATGATTTTCTCTACAGTTCGTAATTCTAATTCACTAAATAAATTTTACTTCATCATTATATTATCTCTATTCGATTTTTTCCTTCTTTCACTTTTATATTTAAAATAATTTTTTAGATTTCTCTAAATTTTAAAATTTAATTCACTTATTCGTATTAAATTATTTTAATTCCATTGTATTATGTGAAATATTTTTTCCTATTTTTTACTATTTATTAAAACTCATACCCATTTTAGTCATTTACAACCAAACTTACTTTTACTCAACCATAATCCAAACAGCTTTTTATCCATTTTACTTTTGCAAACGGGCTTTCTGACTCCACTCCAATCAAACACAATTCAGCTTATTCAATTTAGCTTATATCCCATTTCACTTATCCATAAGCTGCTTTTCCAATAAGTAGCTTTTCCAATCGCTCATCCAAACGGGCCCTAAGTTTATGTGAAACTAATCTCATACAGTACTTATAAATGTTTTTTTGACGCCTAATGAGTGCATTATAAGAGGCAAATTGAATAGGTTCACTTTGGGGGCATCCGATGAAAAATAAGAGGCAAAAATAGAAAACAATCATTTGACACATCTTTAAAATCTATGAATAATACTTTTTACTTGATGGCAAAATATGAAACAGAAAGTGGCGTGTGAAGTAAATGAGAGAATAAAATAAATATCTGAATTTAAAATAAGAATTTTAAAATCAATAAAAAATGTTCATAATCATTACTTCGATTGTAAAGGATCGTGTTAATTCCAAATCAAATGGCAATCTGCGGAAAGACCAAATGATCAAAACATCTGTGATGATGACGAGGAAATATAAATATACGGAGAGAAAGGATCGGAAAAGACACGCTGGAAATCGACATCTAATCTGAGAAATTCAGATCATTACATCTGCAGGGGATGAATGCGGCGTTGTAATTTTAAAGAGGCCATTGCACGGAGGCATTCATGACCGGACGGGTCTAACTCCAATTTTAGTATTCATCATAATAATAACTATTTAATTTTTACCGTTACAGTAAAATCTATACCATTTAGATATAGTTTAATAGTCTAAATTTAATTTTTTAATTAATAATTTTTCAATAAAATCATTTTAGAAAAACTTATAATAAAAAATTACATTTATTTTAGATTGTCTACCTATTAAAAGAAAACACTTTAGAAAACAAAAAAAATTAAAAATTAAATTTTGACCATGTATATTAAATTTAAATGGTTGATATTTGATACTCTTTTGGTCCTTAATGTAGGACTTAATTGTTCATTGATTTTGGTCTTAAATATAAGACCTATTTCTCATATTTATTAATTTTTTCTAAATTATCCATATAGATACTCTATCAACTGTAATCAAGTAGAAGAGAAAGATGAGGTATTAAGAAAGATGATTATGGTATTTTAAGAAAAACGTGTCATATTTTTTATAATTAACTAACTTACCTAACTTCTTTAATCTAATCAAATTAGTTAAAAGAATCTTATATTAAGAACCGGAAGAATAGTTATTATCGTCCTCATCATGCGCAGCATCAAAACCAGTTCTAGGGCAGGCTCCACAGTTGATGACACTCTAAATGATATGGATGTAAAATTTCTAATTTATATTTTTTTAAATGATAAGTTTAATTTTTTTAAAGGAAGTTTTAATTATAAAATTATTTTAATTTTAATTCTAGATCAATTAAAATAAAAATGGTTTTAAATACAAAAAATTAAGTTGAATTTAGGCCACTGAAAATTAATATGAATAGTCAATATTAAAATGAACATTCCATGAGATATTTTTTGTGCTCCGCTTGAGAAGGCAAGACATTAACCTTAAGCATTGCCGAAAACATGAGAGTTGTGTAACGCATTGCGAATTTTATTTGAACATTATATTAGCCAGAGAGAGCCACCTATATTAAGTCTCAGTTGGAGGTAGATGAAATATCTTTGATATAATGAGAACATAAAAAGAATTAATAGCAATGTGAACACGACCAAGCCTGAAATAAAAGGCTAGCGTCTCTAGGACCACGACCACGTGCATGCTAGCTTCTTTGTGAGTGGCGGCCGGAAGCGGCAAAGAGCTCGTTATTGTAATTACTCATAACTATTTTCACATAAACCAAAATAAAATACTTTTTGTGTTAAATAAACTAGTTGACTAATTTAAATAAATTAAAAAAACAAATTAGATTAGTTGTTTATAATAAATATGTATTATTTTTTAAAAATATTTCTGTCAATTAAATTATTAGTTAGAACTGTTATATTAAAAGAACTATCTTAAAAAAATAAATAAATATAAGAATCCAAATAAATTAAAATTTTATACTTATAATTAAAATAAAAATTAAACAAAGTGGATGTAATAATTTGTTACTTGGTTTTTGTTGTTTGCATGCACTGGCAAAGAAATCTCCCAACTCCCCCCCACCCGCCACCGGGGATTCACTTTTTTTTTTTGGGGTGATAACCGGGATTCACATTTCACGCATTGGACTTCGTATGTTTTTAGCATTGCCTGTTTCTATGCTCCTGTTCCCACGTGATCTCAAATGTCACTCACAACACACTGTAAATAGTAGCATAACCATCTTTCCCCTGCACATTGCCACCGTCACAAGCCAAACGTACCCATGTGTCGTAAATCCAAAGGATACAACCACTTTTTGTAGTTATTGGAAATCATACATTACCACCCACCCAAGTTTTATAACTCGGAAAAATTTTAGTAAACTAGTGGGCATTTGGAAACCAGGGTACTGGCCGTGGCTTGCTCTGGGTCCCACAGCCACGTTACGTTTCTCTCAGCGACTCGCGTAGCTCGTCGGCGCCCTTCCCAGAGCTGCCTCTTCCTCGAAGTGTAACCCAGAAAAACGGCAATAATAAATAAGTAAATTATAAACACAATAAAGTCTACACAAATAAAACTGAAAAAGAAAAACAGGAATGTTAAAAGGGAAAATGACAATAAAATACCACTTGAATTCTAAAAGGACAAATAAGGGACCTGAATAAGCAAAATGACAAGGAGGTCACTGGGAACCAATCTGGAATTAATATTTTCAGCCAAAAGACCAAAACGCCCTGATGAATACGGGAAGACCGAAAGCTGAAAGTGAGAGAAAGGAGAAAGGAAGACCGACGCAGTGAGAGAAAGGAGAGAGGAAGACGACGCTGATGAAATGCGGGAAGAAGGAAAGAAGAATGTTGGAAATGCTATTATCTTACTCCTTCGCATCACCATTCTGTAGAGATTGTTGATTTTGGTTGTGGGAAAGAGGATTTGTAGTGAGAGAGGGAGTGAACCGAAGCGGAAATCAGCAAGCAATTACGTAACGTAACTGCTGTGATGTGCCTGCTGGTTTTGGTAAATCCCATTACGTGAATGGTAAATTTCACTATACATGTAGTTAATTATGAATTTTACAAAATACATATTGTGATTTAACTTTTGTAGTGAAAGTAACTACTTTGTTAATGGGTTTTGCAACCTGTTTTCAGGAGATAAACAACTTGTTTGTAAAAACTAATAAAATTTCACGCTAAATTTGACAAAACGTATAGTGGGATTTACAACTTCCGTAGTAAAAATGACCACTTATTCAATGGGTTTTATAACTTGTTTTCAGGGATGGGCAGCTTGTTTTTAAAAACTAATAAAATTTCCTACTAAATTTGACAAAACACATAGTGAGATTTACAACTTTCGTAGTGAAAATTACTACTTCTTAATGAGTTTTGCAACCTCTTTTCAAGGAATTGGCAACTTGTTTCTAAAAACCAATAAAATTCCATGCTGAATTTTACAAAACATAGAGTGATATTTACAACTTTTGTAGTGAAAATTACCACTTCTTAAATGAGTTTTGCAACCTCTTTTCAGGGGATGAGCAACTTGTTTCTAAAAACCAATAAAATTCCATGCTGAATTTTACAAAACACACAGTGATATTTACAATTTTGTAGTGAAAATTACCACTTCTTAAATGAGTTTTGCAACCTCTTTTCAGGAGATGAGCAACTTGTTTCTAAAAATCAATAAAATTTGATGCTGAATTTTACAAAACACACAGTGATATTTACAACTTTTATAGTGAAAATGACCACTTCTTAAATGAGTTTTGCAACCTCTTTTCAGGGGATGAGCAACTTGTTTCTAAAAATCAATAAAATTTGACGCTGAATTTTACAAAATACACAGTGATATTTACAACTTTTATAGTGAAAATGACCACTTCTTAAATGGCTTTTGCAACCAGTTGATTCAACGTGACTACAAAAGTTGTCACTTTTATTAGTTTTTACAAACAAGTTGTTTATCTCCTGAAAACAGGTTGCAAAACCCATTAACAAAGTAGTCACTTTCACTACAAAAGTTGTAAATCACAATATGTATTTTGTAAAATTCATAATTAACTACATGTATAGTGAAATTTACCATTCACGTAATGGGATTTACCAAAAACCAGCAGGCACATCACAGCAGTTACGTTACGTAATTGCTTGCTGATTTCCGCTTCGGTTCACTCCCTCTCTCACTACAAATCCTCTTTCCCACAACCAAAATCAACAATCTCTACAGAATGGTGATGCGAAGGAGTAAGATAATAGCATTTCCAACATTCTTCTTTCCTTCTTCCCGCATTTCATCAGCGTCGGTCTTCCTCTCTCCTTTTTCTCACTGCGTCGGTCTTCCTCTCTCCTTTCTCTCACTTTCAGCTTTTGGTCTTCCCGCATTCATCAGGGCGTTTTGGTCTTTTGGCCGAAAATATGAATTCCAGATTGGTACCCAGTGCCTTATTTGTCATTTTGCTTATTCAGGTCCCTTATTTGTCCTTTTAGAATTCAAGTGGTATTTTATTGTCATTTTCCCATGTTAAAATGTTTGTTAGCTCAGTGAATGAGGTCGGAGGAGAGAGAGGGAAAGAGACACGGATTGAGCAATAAGGAGTGAAGGAGCTCTCTTTCTCTCTCTTTTTCTATCGTCAAGACAGAGAAGCTCCATTCTTCATAGAAAGTGCCCTTCTGCTCTTCCTGTTACGCCCCTATCGTCTCTCCTAGCTCTGGAGTCTGCTTTACTCCTCACGCTCACAGCTCCTGCGTTTCCTTTCTCTCCCCTTTTCTCTCAGCATTTCCTTTTGGTGTGGTGTGGGGCACCTGCGTTTTTGACTTTATAGTCCGCCACTTGATTTTGCTTCTGAAACATTGCTAAAAGGTACCTTTTCTCTTCTTTCTTCCTGAATTGCCGCAATTATTGTGAGTATTACTTTCACTTGCCTACAGCTAATCTCAGGTTACACTATCATTTTCAGCTCTTATTTCCCTTTAGTGTAGTTCCATTTCCGTCTTTTTCTTCTTTGCTCAGTAGGCAGCCAGTTAGGTAGCTCACTGTTCCGGACTTCTTCTTCGTGAATATTTTCTTCCTTTTCTTTTGAGCCTTCTCTTTGAGATGGGGGATCAGATTTGCTGTCAGATTTGAGCTTCACAGGGTTCTCAGATTCAGTGGTCCTTTTAATTTATTGGCCAGAGTGCGACGCGGTTAGAAAGCACGCTAGTCAGAGAGAAAAATTATGGCAGGAGGAGGAGGTCCGGCGAAAGCAGATGAGCCTCAGCCACATCCACCGAAGGATCAGCTGCCCAACATTTCTTACTGCATGACGAGTCCTCCCCCATGGCGTGAGTTTTGCTGATCTTATATTTGAAAATCTTAACGTTTTGAAGATGAAATCGTGTTTTTTAAACCTGGTTCTTGTCAATTCACATGGTATATTCAAGGCATATTTTGTTATGCAAGTATTGTTTGTTTGGACGGTTGTCTGTCTGTCTACTTGTCAAAAGTTACTTTTTCGTAAATTCTTTTTCCTTGCATTTGCCAGATTTTTTATGCGCTTCTTCCTTAAAGCCAACTTATTCTTCTTTTTAAGGGCGGGAGAGCTCCATTCTAGGCCTGTTATTCTTTTATGTCTAGCACCACAAGGAACGCATGACTGGGGAAATAAAACAAATTTATTGGAAAAGCACCTTCTCATTTCCAAATCTCTGGACCATTTAATTCACAAGTCATGTTTCAAATTAATTCAGAGATTCTTCCCGGCTTGGGAAAACCTCATGGGCTTCTCAAAGCTAAAAGGAATAATGTCATTCATTTAGATTATATACCTTTCGGAGAATCCAATTGTTATTTAATTTGACCTTTGATATGAAAATTTCAAAAATATTCTTTCGCTTAACAATTTCTTACTCTTGAATTATATTATTCGAGTTGTTGAAATTTTTGGAGATTTCGTGACACCACCGAAGCCATGCTTTCAGAGCTGCTAGTTGGATAATGTTTCCTAGACTTTTAAGTTTCAAGTGATTGAAATTTTTGGAAAAATCATTTGCCATATTCTGTCATCATTTTACATAGTTTATGATTTCACAACACCTCTTCTACCCCCTTGTCTGCATTATTTTGTTCAATGTTGGATCTGCAAAATTTAGCTTTAAATATTTGCCTTTGTTTTATTTCGTTAAACTTGACAAAGATTGGGGACATTCTGGTGCAGCTGAGGCCATAATTCTTGGTTTTCAACATTATCTCGTGATGCTTGGCACAACTGTGCTCATTCCTTCTGCTCTTGTTCCACAGATGGGAGGTGGCAATGTAAGCAGTAACTGATAAAATTTACAGAAGCAACTAGGTTAAGATCTAGTTTGAGATTATAATAACAGAAAAATCCAACCATGTGATTGAAATCGTGCTTTATAGGCCAGAAATTAGAAGAGAAAAGGAAAGAAAATCAACATTACTTTTTCTTGCAGGAGGAAAAGGCACAAGTTATCCAAACACTACTCTTTGTAGCGGGAATAAACACATTGCTGCAGACACTGTTTGGAACTCGACTGCCTGCCGTAATTGGAGGGTCTTACACCTACGTCCCTACCACTATCTCAATTATTCTGGCTGGTCGCTTCAGTGATGTTGCAGATCCTATAGAGGTCTTGTGGATCAGAATCCATTTTCTTATATTAACTGGTGCATGGTTGATTTGTTTGTTACATCATTTAATGTTGTAATATGATTAGATCTAACCAATAAGCAAACTGCCATATGTTTTCTAATAATGTTGTTATCAATTATAGCCTTGGTTTTAGATTATCTGTCCTCAGAAGATTAACCTCTTGTGTTCAAATCCATTGGAAATAAGGGAATGAATTTTAGTCCCAGTCCCAGATTAATGCTTTGGATTATTATATGTTTATTTGATCAAAACTGTATGCTCGTTTTTATTTTCTGAATCTTTATTTTTCAAAATATATTCAGAGATTCAAGAGGATAATGCGGGCAATCCAGGGAGCTCTTATTGTTGCTTCAACTCTTCAAATAGTATTAGGCTTTAGTGGCCTCTGGCGTAATGTTGCAAGGTTGGTTTGGATTTATTTGTAGTAAGTTGATGGGTTATGCTTTTTCACCTCATTTTCACGTGATTGCTTTTGACGTAATTATTGTTATGATCTGGATTGGTGTTTGAAATGAAAATTGTGTCTTCATGTTTAAGTAAATTATTAGTTTGTTTGGATGTAAATTTAATAAGTGATATAAGTTCCGATTCTTTCTTCAGGTTCTTAAGTCCACTTTCTGCAGTTCCTTTGGTATCCCTTGTTGGTTTTGGGCTGTATGAGTTAGGTTTTCCCGGGGTAAGCCTTATGTTACTTTATCACATGTTCTCGTGAGAGTTAAATTGATAAGATCATTTGACATTGATGTCTGCCTTGGGTATAGGTTGCTAAATGTGTGGAGATTGGATTGCCAGAGCTTATATTGCTAGTATTTGTTTCACAGGTAAAGTTACTAACTGTGCAATACACTGTTATTAAACATGTCTAGTTACTAGCATTTTCTTTATGGCCATGAACCCTTAACATAAAAATAATGGTTGATTTGATATCTTGGTTTTATTTAGGTATATAGCATGATGATTTTTGTAAGACTGATAGTGATAATGTTTAATGGTTGTCATGCAGTACATTCCCCATGTGCTCCATTCAGGAAAACATATCTTTGACCGTTTTTCTGTTATATTTACAATTGCAATTGTGTGGATATATGCTCATCTACTCACTGTTGGAGGCGCCTATAACCATGCTGCACCAAAAACACAGGCTACCTGCCGCACTGATCGTTCTGGACTTATAGATGGCGCCCCTTGGTTAGTTGTGCAATTTCTTGTAAAAGCAATGCTGGATGGTTTTTTTTCCCTGTAACTACTGTTTAGTTAATTTAAGTTGCTCCCACCGATAAAAAGGAAAAGGATAGCAAGGGGGGAGGTGTTAAGTATGCTCAGTACTGAAGCTGGACAAGACGCTTGTTGTTTAGCCTGATCTTTATATTTCTTAATCTCAGCGTGGAGCTTTGAGAGTTCCAAGCGATACTAGTTCGAGGAGACTCTTGTCAGGCACTGAAATTGCATATCTTATTTAATATGGAGAGAGATTTTTGATTCAACGAATCCTATACCTTACTATCTGAACTAGTCGTTTTTATTCATGTTTTTAGGTGCTAGATTTTTGTATTTCCTCCAAAACCCCAGCTATTGAATCATACGCCATGTTATTCTGGACGAGTTGATTGTATGCACAGAGGCTGTTGATTGTGTTGTGAACTAGAGCGAACGAATAAGTGAATCATTATCTGGTCCATCTATGTCACACTTGTCATTTGAAAATCTTTTCTGTAATATAATTATCACTATTTTCAATCGTAGAGGAATGTAATTGATATTTTTTCAAGAAAGATTCAATTGCATCCGTGAGATTTTGATTTTTTTTTTTTAAATAAAAAATTTATTAGCATGCTTACCTTCTAGCCTTTGTATTGTGAATTGAAAGGAGAGGGTAATAATGTATTGTGAATTTCGTTTTCCAGGATAAGAATTCCATATCCCTTTCAATGGGGAGCGCCTTCATTTGATGCTGGCGAAGCCTTTGCCATGATGATGGCATCCTTTGTTTCTCTCGTAGAGGTAATATATTCCTTTTAGTTTCAAGTTTCAACTGGAATTTCACTTTTGTTTCTTCAGTGGTTTTCTGCCATACGACAATCATTTATTAGCTTCCGTATCCATCATTTTCATTGGTTGTCTTGGAATTCCAATCTGTATGTTGTTGATAGTCATCTAAGACAGCATATACTGCTACAACCTTCTTTAGCTTCCATGATCATTTAATGATTTTGTACTTTCGTTTTAAAATGGTACAAGTATAATAGGTTTTTAGCATACGTTTCCCGAAAACCTTTGAGGCTAAAGTTGAATTTTATCTCTGAGAGAAGTTTTAACTTTAGTTTGTCATTTGGCATAAGTAGTGTCAAGGAACCTACAAATACATACCTAGAATCTCCTTTGCTTTCCTGAATATATATTGGATATACTGGCTGCATGAAGCAGCAATAGTGAGAAGGAAATTTTGCAATAAATCACTGTAAACCATTTTGGGGTCGTGGTCAATGGTCTAAAGGATGGGACTGTATAAACAAATAAAAAAAAAAAAAGAAGGGGGGAAGGGGTGGGGTTAAGGGTCTTGGTTATTGCCCTACTTCTCGTCTGTTAAGTTCAATGTAATAATGGGAAGATTGTCTCCTTCAATGCAATCTAGGGGAGGTTGATATTAACACGTTAACAAATAACTATGTGCTTAGTGGCATGGTTGGGATTATATGGCTTCCTTAATTGTGCATTGGCTGAGAATCAGTAACTTGTGCTTGGTATTTTGCCATTTCCTTGAATAATTATGCCTTGCCAAAGTTAAATTATCTACTTATTGTTTTTTTTTTTTTTTGGTTGAGTAAATCTACTTACAGTTTTATTTGTTACAAGCAGTCTAGTGGAGCTTTTATTGCTGTATATCGGTATGCAAGTGCAACTCCATTACCGCCATCTGTTCTCAGTCGGGGTATTGGTTGGCAGGTATGCTAAGATGGGTACAATTGCTGCTTCAACATTTAACTATCTCTATCTGTAAATGTTCAGGCCAAAAAGATTATCTATAAATAAACTTTTCATTTATTTATAGTTTATAAATAATGATAATAGCAGGAGTAATAATGAAATGTAATTCTAATTATAGTCTTCATCTGCCATTTCAAGTAGCACAATGCAATAGATAATTTTGGTGAGCTCTTGCTTCAGTTATTGTTGACACCATCTGATTCTGCCTCTCAATATCTATGTTCAGGGAGTTGGCATACTGTTATCAGGGTTGTTTGGAACTGTCAATGGATCCTCTGTATCTGTGTAAGACAGTCTCAAACTTTTTTGTATTTTCTGCTTAAAGAAAGGAGACGCAATTTGTTGATGGAACCCATTTGCTTTCATTCTGTACAGCGAAAATGCAGGTCTACTGGCTTTGACTCGTGTTGGCAGTCGAAGAGTTGTGCAAATATCTGCTGGATTCATGATTTTCTTTTCAATTCTTGGTGAGTTGGTGCGGTATGAGTATTTAGGCAATACGTGTGACTTAGATAAATGGTTGGTCCGCCTCCATAGTTCCTTTTCCTTCCCTGAAAAACTTGTGAATCTTGTTGTCTAGGGAAATTTGGAGCAGTTTTTGCTTCCATCCCACCGCCCATTTTTGCTGCGCTATACTGCTTATTCTTTGCTTACGTTGGTAAGTCTGATTTATAAATTGACTCGCAAAGTTATTGAAGGCCCAAATTTGTTTTGATAGCTAAAAAAAAACTATCCATTTTCATTCATTATGTGTAGGTGCGGGAGGCCTTAGTTTTCTTCAGTTCTGCAACCTCAACAGCTTCAGAACAAAATTCATATTAGGCTTCTCTATCTTCTTGGGGTTGTCTGTGCCACAGTACTTCAATGAGTACACTGCAATTAATGGTTTTGGTCCAGTCCACACAGGTGGAAGATGGGTAAGGATATATGATACAAGAACTCGAGATTTCTCTTAAAAAGGATAACTTAGATGCAGCTCTGTAGGTGTCTGGATTCAGTTTTTTCGACTATATGTGCAGACGAACATTTTTGAGAGTCAAACTCGTGTTGCTGAATTGAACAGATGTTTTTACTCTAAAGCTAAACATCTAAAACACCACCGTGCAGTCTTTTCTTGCATTTTAATCTTTGTTTTTGGCGGAGTTCGCACTTGCACTGATACTTTTGTGTTCTTGGGCAGTTTAATGATATGGTGAATGTCCCATTCCAATCGAAAGCATTCGTTGCCGGTGTTGTGGCATTTTTCCTGGATAACACTCTTCATAGGAGAGATGCAGCTATTAGGAAAGACAGGGGGAAGCATTGGTGGGACAAGTTCAAGTCTTTCAAGGGTGACACAAGAAGTGAGGAGTTCTATTCACTGCCTTTCAATCTAAACAAATATTTCCCATCTGTGTAATTTTGTGCTGAGAGCTGAACTTTAAGGCGGTTTCAAATTGATGTCGCTTCACCAAGTCTTAAAAGGTCATTGTTTGATCTTGCATTATCAGATAGGACCTGGGTACACGCCATAGCTAAATGAATATTAAGAGTACTGCAAAACCATTTATTTTTATTGCTTTCTTCTATGTAAATCTTGAGAGCTGTACTCGTGTTAGTAATGTGAAAATTTCCTGTGTCATTCATTCGATTCATATCAACCATGCTTTATAGGCCTTAATACCTTGCCGATGGATACGCATCAGATCCCACAAATATGTAATATTTACCTTTGGAGCTGTCTCATGGTAAGTGTCGATCTTTATTCCAATGACCTTCGTTGCATGTTACGGTAATCACTGCGAATGCAAATAGCACCTTCTTAAAAGCCCTAAGGCCTTATATTTTTGGCCAAGCCCTAAGGCCATTGATCAAAGTATTTAAACTATAATTTTAAAAAACAAGAATTTGGACCGCTTAAATATTAATTTAACAGTCAGGATGGGCGGTGGAGGGGAAGGGATGGGAAGGATAGAGGAGAAAAGCTACCTCCCATTGATCAGTAGTGATGCTCTCCTTGGTGCCAGCAAAACCTTCTAAGTTGAACCATCTCCCGGATTTTTTTTTTTTTTATATCTGGAAAAGTTTTAGATGAATTGGATTCTGGGAGTTCACCAAGATTAGTGTATGCCTCCAGAACTGACTTCGTACCAACTAGATTAACTCTTATTGATGAACCATGTCTCGGATATGAAACATGAAGGCCTCCTCAAAGAATTAGCAAGCACTGTCAAATCGTAGTCAAAATGATTCCCGCTACCTTTTCCGTCTCCAAAATCAACCTGATTTTTTAAGAAAACAATTAAATTAATGACTCCCAGCCCAACGAGCTCCATCATTCGAACTTATGTACTTATAAATGTTTTTTTTTTTCAAATTTCTTTTCACCAGATACATCTTTCCTTATCATAAAATGTTTGTTTGCCTTTGATACGGTAATCACGGAGTCCATCATTTGGAAACACGAGTAACAATGTTAACATCATGAGTCATAAATAACGTTACAAACTAATATTTGAATCCCTCTAAAAAATATGTTCATATTTAATATCTGACGGTATTTTGAATAGAATTGCTTCTAATAGGAATATAATCGGTAATATGGGAGAAGTGGCGGGTTGGGTTAATAAAAATCAGACTCATTTTAAAACGGATCTTTTGAGCTTGTAACAGCCGAGACTGAACTCGTGATGGGCTAACACGTAGGGTTGGCAAGTCAGCCCGTTTTATTTATTTTATTTTTTTAAATTTTTTTCTCCCCCAATATAATTATGTTTACTTCTTTGGTCCTTTATCTTATTCTTATTATTTAAAATTACCATAATATAATATATCTTTTGCTTTGTATTATGAATTTTACTTATGGTAAAGTTAGTTGAGCAAAAAGAAGGTGATTCTACTTATGAAGCTTAACCAAATAATTTCACATCTTCATATCATTCTTTGAATTATATTAACATTGAATGGTGGCTCATAGTTGAGCACTTGATAGTGATTTATAACATTGCGTTTGTATTATTATTAATTTAGATTCGTTATGTTTTAATTTGGGATGTATATTTAATCATTTAAGATGATGTATCATGTATGCTTATAGTAGTATTTTGGAATGTTTGGAACTTTGGATTTCATATTTTATTTATGATAATTTCTATATACATATTTTATTTTAGGTGTTTAAGAATTAGAATGAATTTTATTAAAAGAAAACAAAAGGGACAAAAAAATTTAAAAAAAAAATAGTGGGTTGGCAGGTCTAGGTTGGAAAAATATTAGCTCGCCAGAAGTCGGTCTTTTTAGGATCGACCTGTCGGTCTTTGAGCCCACCACGGGTCAACCCATAATCGGCGGGTTGGCTCCTATTACCAACTCTAAATAGGAGGATACTATGCGTAGCCAAAAAAAACAAACATCAAAGGTGTGAAGTGAAGCCATTGATCTAATCCATGATGCGTAGACTCAGTTAATTGATAAATTAAATAATCTTATATTGTACCTTGAGTGAGGTTGATGTTGTCATCTTCAAATTCACTCTCACTCTAACTAGTACTATTTCTGGTTCTTAATATAAGAGCCTGTTGACTAATTTGAGTAGATTAGAAAAATTAGTTGAGTTGGTTATTTGTAATAAATAAATGCTGTTTTTTCTAAAATATCCTTACTAATAAAATATACTGGTTAAAAGTACTATTATTATAAGGACTATCTTAAAAAAAAGATAAATATGAGAGATAAAGTAAACTGGGATATTATATTTAGGATCAAAATAAAATTCAAATAAGGTTTTATAATTAGGACTGGAGGTAATACTTTAGTATCCTTTTAAATTTGAATCCATTTGCTTCATAATCAAAAGAGAGAGTTCTTGGATATCTCAATGCACTACCGCTGGTGTTAGAGCCGGGAAAACGGGCCAAGCCCATCAGGCCGGCCCGTTTAGGCCCTGAAATTACGAGGGCCGGGCTTGATATTTTTCTCTTAAAATGAGAAACAAGCCCTGGAGGGCTGGCCCTGGAGGGCCGAGGGCTTAAAAGGGCCGGCCCTGGAGGGCCGCGGGCCGGCCCTTTTAAGCCCTTTTATAATTTTTTTATTTTTTAAATTTTTTTATATAATATTAATGTTATTAATTTTTTACATTGTTAATAATATTTCAAATATTTAGTTATTATTATCATTTTAAAATTAAATTTAGTTTTAGCCAATAATTTATCCAATTAAATTTTTAAAAAATCGGTTAATTTAGACTTTAATAATGATTTGATTTATATTATATGCGTTGATATTTTTAAACTATATATATATATTTGATAATAGAATATTTTTATACTTATATAACTTGTGATTCTATAATTTGAATTAGAAATTCATGAGTTTCAACAACAATGTTTCTCACATTAAAGTAAAATAATAGTTAGATTGCAAAATTCAAAAATAAAATTCTTATAAAGAAGAAAAACTTGATATTTTTGTTACGAAAGAAAAGCATACTTATGAAGAAAAGTAATTAATTATAGTGATGATGAAGTTTCAAAAGATTAATGATAGTGTTTATTTATTGCACAATTGCATTATAGATAAAACTTTTAGATATTGTTATCTTGTTAATGAACGTTTTAGATGTTCTTAGATGTTGATGAATATTTATATATGATGATATTTTATATTTGTGACTTAATTTTATTCATATTTATGTCTTTTATTAATAATTTCATTGGTTTATTTTTATATTTTTATAAAAAATTTGATAAATATAAAAAAATAGTATTTTTCCTTAAACGGGCCAAAAGCCCGCGGGCCGGCCCTGACCCTGTAGCTTAAGGGCCGGGCTTAGCAAATTGGGGTATTTTTAAAATTTCAGCCCTGGAGGGCCGGCCCTTTTAAGCCCGCCAGCCCTGAAGGGCCGGCCCTGGAGGGCCAGGCCGGCCTGATTCCCGGCTCTAGCTGGTGTGAAGAGGCAAGAAATAATTTAGTAAAATAGAGTAGGACGGAAAGTGTAGATTTGCATATTCAGGGATTAAATATAAACTACCAAGTTGTCATTATTGATTTTTTTTTTTTTGGACCAGCAATCATTAGTGATTATTATTTAGGGGTTAGAGAAGCGAGATAGGGTGCATGAAATCTGAGGAGACAACGAGATGTGACACTGCCTGCCTGCCTGCCTTCTTTTGGCGATATGTTAAGGTAATATGTAAATCATTGGTTCCATATTTAAACAACCTTAGCATTCCATGATCCCCACCCTCCTCTTTTTTCTGCATTGTATTTGAATGTGGATATCTGACGTGAATGGATTTCATGAAGTCAAATGATTAATTCAGACATGTTGTTCTGGAAATATTGCGAAACAAATACTAACAACATTAAAATTATAAGAAGAAGTTATCTCTGCACCATAAAACATACGACTACTAAACGGAATCAAACATGACGCATTATTAGCTACCCTCATGAACTAGTACTTTTCTCATCCTATTTTTGCCAGCATTTATCATTTCACATTAGAAAAGAGATGATACCTTCAAAAAATTACGGTATATCTATACATCATGTCAACTGTGTAATCTATACTTTGACCTTTGTTTTTTTGGGGGGGATAAGTGGGCCTTCAAGTGGGCCACGGATGAGAACGGCAGGCCCAGATAACAATGTGGGGTGCTTCCCTTTTAGGGCCCGTTTGGTAAATACCTGAAATTATGGTTTTGGCACCCAAACTATAGTTTGGGTAAAAAATTTGCAGGAAAAAAATCAGCAAACCACGGTTTTGGACCAAAATCATGGTTTTGGGTTTCAAACCATGATTTTAGAAAAAGTGAATCCATTTTACTTCTGACTCAAATTGGAGAGGATAATTGTGCCTGTCAGAGTAAATCCCAACAGTAATATGACTTTAACACCCCTCAATTATTTTTCTATAAACATATTTAATTTTATATTTTATAAATATATATACATATATTAATTAATTAATAATTATATTATCTTATATATTAATTATGTTCGTAAAAAATATATTATTAACAATTTTATTTCTTCAAATTAAAATATATTATAAAATCTATTTTTTATATAATTATCATATTAATTTATGTCCTTTTTAGTAATTTGTATATATAAAATTTTTTTCTGATAATAACTATTTAAACACTCTTACTTTTTAAAAAAAATATATTCTTTCAAAATCTATTCTCTAAAAAATATTTTTTAAACTATGATTTGATTTTACTCTCACACCGTCTTAATAACATAAACGCTCAAAAGGCGAACCAGTGTGCATGGGAAGCTTCGCACGCGACGCACACTAACCATGATGCGGTGCTCGGGGAATGAAATTTAACACCGAATGTTCCATAATTACAGGGCCGAAAAACAGCCCCTCCAGTCCTTCACTACATCAATGACGACAGCTTGGGTGGCCCACGCTCGATCATCCAGCATGTCCCTGTAAAATTTAACTCATATGCTACTATTTATTTTTATTATAAGAATTAGTTTGACATTCAATTTGATTTTAAATATAAAATATAAGGTTTCAATTCATTTTATTTTTTATATTTATCTTTTTTTTAAGATAGTTCTTATGATAGTTGTACATGTTAAATATTTTATTAAATAATAATTCTAACCAATATACATTATTAGCAATAATATTTTAGGGATATCTATTTATTACAAATAACTAACTTAATAAAATTTTTTAAGTTACTTAAATTAGTCAACTAGTTCTTATATTAAGAATTGAAGTTAGTACCCCCTCCATTTCAAAATATAAGATAAATTTTATCTATTTACGTTCATCAAGAAATTAGTTAAAATCAGTTTAAAACAATAAATATGTAAGACATATATTTCTTTTTTCAAATATGCCCTTACTAATCAAGAGAATAAATAAAAAATGTAATAAATAAATCAAAGAAGAAAGAGAATATGCATGGTAAAATTGGAAGGAAAAAAAACTCACTAAATACTCCTCCGGTCCTTAATATAGGACCCAATTGTTGAGTTGATTTTGGTTCTAAATATAAGACCCATTTATCATATTTATCAATTTTCTCTAAATTACCCCTATGTATGCTCCTTCAACCATAATTAAGTAGAAGAGTGAGAGAAGGTATTAAGAAAGATGATTATGGTGTTTTAGGAAAAACATGTCACATTTATTATAATTGACTAACTCACCTAACTTCCTTAATCTAATCAAATTAGTTAAATGTGTCTTATATTAAGAACCGGAGGAGTACTTAGATAAAAGTGAATGTTATTCTTGTGGTTATATTTATAGGACAGGGAGAAAAAGTTTGTTTTGTCTCATTTATAAATCACTTAATTAAATTTTTAATGTGAATGAACTATTTCGTTCTTAATTTATTAAAGCGTATATAATTATCTTTTTTGAAAGATGTATATATTAAATAGGAGTAAAGTTAAAAAATTATTATATTTTAATAAAAAATTAATACATTTTAATATTTTTCTTGATTTATATAAAATATGTGGGAAATGTAAATAGAACTAGAAGAGTATCTTATAAAAGTCTAAGGCCCTCCGATAAACATAAAGTTTAGCTTAATATTATATAGTCACATTCACTCGATCATCCCACACCACTCACCTCAACGGCCGCGGGCATGGCGTGGTCCCTGTAAATATTAATGATAAATTGACCCGCCCATTAAATCCTCGAAAGTGAAATCTCTTAAATATTGTAATTATTTGACTTATTTAATACTTATACCGAATTGGCCCTGCCAACATTTATCCGCATATATCTTCCATTTGCCCGACGAGTAGCATTATGATTACGAAAGATGGTAAAATGCAACCAAGAATTTGACTATAATGATTGGACTCACTCTGGGATTATGGCCGTTTGACCAGTAATGCACTCCTACCTATAAAAGGAAACAACTTATTAAATCAAAATATAAAATCGAAGTTCCACATATCACACTCTGTTCTTCATAATTCAGGATGCGTGAATGTTTAGATAATAATATACATAATTTAATACGAAGATGGGATGGAAGAAGTGATTGAGCCCACAAAAATGGATAGAGCAAAGAGAATGTTGTGTGTGTGTGTGTGAGGCCTGCATTTCACATCAATCCGTTGCCAATGTTCACCACGTCAGCCCTCAAATATGATCCTCTATGCTTAATTCACTTCCAATTTATGGATTTTATGAGCATCAATCAACCTCACATGATTTCTATAACATTATACTCCGGTCTTAAATATAAGATTTATTTTATTGTATAAATTATATTATAAAATAGGTTTTATATTTAGAACTAGAGGAGTAGTTTCTTTTACATAACTTTCTTTTGAGAGACACAGAAGCCCTGATATTCATTCATACCTCAGTTGTTAATGTACTACGTAATGAAACCTTTTTAATTTCTGTCTAGACGTCATATATTTGATAAAAGTTCAGTGAAGACACAAAAAATGTCAAGCATCAAATCTACATTTAAAAAAAAAAGAGAGAGAGAGAGAGAGGGGAGAGAGAATCCAATGGAGGGTATATAAGCAGGCTTGCACAGGATCTTAGTTTGTGTGTGTCCCCTGAACCCTGTTTGGCACTGTGAGGCTGCTATAAACACCTCCTTGCGTCCTCCAACATTTCTCTTTCACCTTCCTCACTCTCACAGAGAGAGAGAGAGGGGGGATGGGAAATTGCCAGGCCATTGATGCAGCAACGCTGGTGGTACAGCATCCTAATGGCAAAGTGGAGAGGATGTATCATCCGGTGACTGCTTCTCAGATCATGAAGACCAACCCTGGTCACTATGTGGCCCTCCTCATCTCCTCCACATTATGTTCTTCCCAACACAATCATCATCACCGTGAACACAATAGTGATTCTGTTCGCCTCACTCGCATCAAGCTTCTTAAGCCGTCGGATTCCCTCCTTCTCGGCCATGTTTATAGACTCATCACCTCTCAAGGTCTCTTCCCCCTCCTTTCATCTCTACTCTTGAAAACTTTGATTCTTTCTCTTCCCTCTTATGACTCTCTTGTGCTTGTTTTGTTCAGAGGTTATGAGGGGTTTGTGGGCCAAGAAACAAGCTAAGATGAAGAAAAGCTTGTCAGAATCAGAGAGACGAAGCTTTGAGATGAAGACAATCACCAGGATCCATGATATGGAGAACAGCCAGGTTAATCTCTATCCAAGTTTGGCTTTCTCGGAAGTTTCTTATTGTTTCAGTCAATTGATATTTTTAAGGGTAAATGAAAAACCACTGAACCCTTCATTAGCTTGATTACCCGTATTCTACATCATATATCAGAACCGTTACATCAGCCACAGCAAATCTCAAGAAATTAGTCATTTGGGTTCTGAAAAATATTTAATAGTGGTACCAGACAAACTATATGTAAATACTGGGATCATTATGTACTACAAGTTCATACTTATGTTAATGTTCTGAAAGTATGACTTGTATAAATGTTTTAGGAGAGGAAAAGGGAGAGAGAAGGAGGAAGGAGAAGAGGAACGAGTAATGGAGGGAGGGGAAGAACATGGGAGCCTTCATTACAGAGCATCTCAGAGGCATCAAGCTGATCTGTGTTTGCGGAATAACCCACATGGAGCTCTCTGCCTTGCCTTCAGGGACTGACACATCGAAGTTCCATGATTGGATTATAGATTTTTCAAACTTTTTTAAATACTAAATCCAGAAATGCTAGTTACAATTGCAACTGAGATCACACTTCAATTCATTTTCTACAACCAAATCAACCCTTCTGCATAATTGTGCATATCAAATCAAAGGTTCACATATCCAACTTCAAGTGATGTATCCAAGCTCTTCTCTTTTATATCAAACCAGGCTTCAACATCATCAAAATCTTCATCTTCTTAGTTTTTCTTCTTCTTATTATTTTGTGGCTGCATCTTTTATTCCCCCGTAAATGTTAAATTGTAGCACGCGTCTCTCTAAGACTAAAGATCATAGAGGGGTTTCGATTAAATTATGCAGGGAAGATTACAGCTTTGTGTTATGGGTTACCAAAAACAAGAGCAACAAATTTCTTTGAAGAAGTGAAGTTGGTTTGCATTCTTTATTCCAAAGCAAAAACCAATTGGCCGCTGAAATGTTTGGGAAATTTAAATTCTAATCATTGCTTTCATTTTTTAAATATCCCTCTGATATGGTCCCTTTATTTAAAGAAGCACCTACATGCCAAAGAATAAAGCCCGCAGTACGCTATATTTTATCACGCAAATAAGTAATATCAATATCACATAAAATTTATAAAAATTCACACGACTCACTATTAAGTTTTGAGTTTTGTGCAATTTATTTCAATTTTTTTTTTCAAATTTGTGTTTACTCTGTCACTATTTCTGCTCAGGTTTTAATAAAATGCAAATATTATAAATGGGTAGAATTTCAGTTTTCAAATTTTGTTAGCTATGTGACTCGTGTGACATATAAACCATAAATCCACATTAAATTCACTGTGATTACACATTTATCATTTATTTCTAAAATATAAAAATTTTCTCTGCAGATTGAAAAGGTGTCTCTGTGTTTTTAAGAAAGCTCAATAAAAATATGTGTAATTAACTTTCTTGTTTTAAATGAAGCACAATCAAGTTTTGAAAATAAAGAAATTGTATAGCTTTTTTTTTTTTTGTACTAGGAAATTGCACAGCTTTAATAAAGAAAGTTTAAGAAATATCTTTAAAAAAGAAGAAGAGGCTTATTAAAAACATGGGATACGAGGCTATGAATAAAGCAGGTGCAATTGATGTGCTTTAAATTGCAGCATCATATGATTCCACAATTCTTTTTGTTGCATTAAGAACAAGAACAAGCAAATCCCATGGCCCGTTGGCATTATTATTACCTGTCTTTCTTTCTTTCCCCGCCTTAAAAGAAAAACAGAGCTTCATAGGCAGGGCCCACCAAGCTTCGGCTTCTTTTCCAAGTGCCTTGTCATTCTTATGAGAAAATCAAATAACATTAGGCCAACTTTTTCTTTCCGTCCTTCTTTACTTTTCCATTATTCCATTTCTCTTTTGTGGAATACTATAATGACCAATCATGGAACTTAGATATGCATAAGCATTCGACCAAGGCATGCTCTGTTTCATTTTTTGAGTTTGACTTTGCCTCTTTGACATCGCACTTCCTCAACAAAGATCATCCTCACCTTCCTCATCATATTTCTAGGCTTTGATTATCTCTTTAATTTATCTTATTGGAATGCAAGTGTTTGGTGGGAATTAAAGCGAAATAAAGACAACATCCCCCCCCCCATAAAAAAAACCAAAAAAAGAAGAAAAGAATAAAGGCAACAGAGATTTTTTTTCCCCTAATAAATAAACTAATTCAATTAACATTTCTTAGGCTGTAAGTATAAGAGCACTCAAACAAATCAATCATCGCATATCAGCAAATTTCATGTTCTGATAACGGGTTATATTCACTAGGCTGCTAGCTAGTATACAGGAAACTAGCCTCTAAAATTAAAAGGTTCATTAAGAAACTATACGTAGCTTCGCAGGCTTCTAACATATAACAATATATAACAATGGATCAAACCTTCCATCACATTGCCTCCACCGTAGGCCAACCCCAACTCAAACTTCATAATTTTCTGCTACTCCATGCTATAAACCACAAGTCAAAGCAGTTAGGCATGGAATCAAACAGTGGCTATGGACTGCTCAGGTGATTTCATAAGATTCAAACAGCTTCAACCTTTTCTTTTGACACAAAAAATTTCTACCATTCCTTGTCAATATACTCAACGGATTTCAGAATGGTCATTTTATAGCACCAGGAAGAATAGCATCTGTTTGTCAAACTCAAATCACGAAAAGCCATTAGTTCTACACCTGCAGCTTTGTAATTATTGGGATTTAAGCCAAAACAGAAGGACATCACAGGCCCATTATATCCAAAAGATAATGCTGACAGCAAAAGAGAAAGGTAACTGCTTCCAGAAATCTTAAAAGCGGGATGGTAATACATCATCATGATTATCATTTGAATAGCAGATACCAAACTGTCTAGCAATTATTTCTCAATACTCAACCTCAGTTTCCCACAAAATCTGAGTTCTTTTGTTACAATATTTCCTCACAAAAATATTACATACATAATAAACAAGGAGAACTGCAACAACATCTGTATTGTATCGAAACAACTTCTGCATTTGATGTCTAACAGAGAATGCCATCATCAAGTCTCGTGTGCATGGCCACTGAAGTTTGATGGGTTGAAGTATCACTCGCTTGGTGTGTTCTCAGCCACCCCATTGCCATTCTCATGCTTGTCAAACTGACTGAAGTCGCCCTTCTGCCTGAAAAGCTGAGTATGGTGGTGCCTACAATAAAGGCGATGTTCGTGGGCCACATAATTTGATGGACTGATTACACAACCTCCATGAGTGCACCTGAAACAAGCCTTATGATAAGAACTTCCATCAACGGCCACCTGCAGAAGAACATATCATCAGGGAAGATTAATATGTACACATGGTATTGTATAATGTTGCAGAACATGTAGTTTCAATAACTGACAAGACCAGTAATTTAATCCAACTTCCTCTCCATATATGCTTCTCTCCTCTCTGTTGCACTAATTCATTATGGATACCTCTTTTCCACCATCAGGAAACAAGGTTTTAATATCCAACCAAATTTCTGAGACAACTTTGCCTCTAGACTATCTTTGGTGTAAGTCAGAGTATCCTCAAGTTGTTTTGGGCTTAAGACCAGCCTCTATGGGGCGGAAGCGTTAAGGTTAAAGTCCTTCCAATAATTACACTCTCAGGATTTAAACTTGTGTTCTCTTCCTTACGAGGAGGTGAGACTACTTACCATCTCAACCAACAGCTTGTTGGTTGCCTCCAAACTATCTATTCATTTATACTAGCTCTTGGATAGTCACATCATACAATGATAGGGAAGTCATGACAAGAATACAGGAAAAGATATTACTTAATATTCCTGATAGACAAAATAATTGGACACGGAGTAACTTTTCTAACTTAATTTCCAGTGTCAAATCTGAACTTTTTTCACCTTTTACTTTATGACTTTCCATTTCTGGTGCAGTCAAGGAAAACTGAACGTAAAATCAGATAGAGTAGCTGGATCTCGAAAGGAAGATCAACTCCACAAAATGGGCTGTTGATCAAACTTTGTTGAGAGCGAAATCCAAGAGCTTACATCGGCAATATTTGGCACACCATTGACATACTAAACAAATATTGAGATTCTTCTATTTTCACTCTTAGGAAGATATGGTTCATTGAAAGCATAAAGCAGAACTTGAACTGAGAGATTCAAAAACATATTGTTTCATTCCACGCATCAATTTAGTGACCAAGTGACTTGAAAATGCTATGGAAAAAGTTCACTGAAGGATATTTATATACCTTTTCAATCGGGTAAACTGTTTTCTTGCAAGCAACACACTTTTCTCGAGTTCCACCAAATAAACTTGAAACTTTACTGTTAGTTTGGACCTGCATATTTCTCAAATCAGAAAAAGCGTCATCACAGGTGCACTGGAAATCAATGAAGCAGTAGAAAAATTCCTTTACAAGCAGTTAACATCATTTTTAAGGATGTGAAAATACCTGATCAGCCGATCTGTCAACTCTAACAGTTCTTGGAATACCTACAAGTGACAAATACAGAAGTTAGAGGAATGAATGAAAAAACATAGACATGCTGAGGATAGATTTGAACTTTGAAGTGGATAAGTTTTAGAAAAATATCAATGACAGCAATTCACCTTCAAAACTTTTTTCCAAGCTGCCAGTCATCTTAAAGAGTTGATCGAAATGAGGCTTACAGTATAAAACTCCCTCAAAGGAATTATAATTGCTCAGCTGCAAGGATGCACAAGAGGACTAATAAATGAGGATATGTAGGGTGACAACTAATGCACGATACACAAGAGCAAAAGAAAGTTGTATCAGATGCTAATCTTTCTGCATTTCAAAATATAATGAGACCAACGAGAAGGTTGAAACCAATTTCCAGTATCCATCCAACGAAAGAAAAATCAGACAGCATGTCACAGGATGCTTTACATGTGCCGCTATCAAGGTTCAAAAGGAATTCTAAAGTATACCAGTTGTATATCTTGTCAATAGATAATTATGCATCCCAAACTCAGCTATCACTTTGGAACAAGCATCAATTAGAGTACTGGTATGATCTCAGATCCAAAGTTCAAAACTTTTTAAATAATTATAGTCCAAAAAGTTTTAGCAACAGCAATTAATTCTTAGTTGAATAGTTCATCAAGCCATCACCCATTTACTACCAGCTGAACAGACAAATTCATAGGATCATGCATAAGGACTATCAAAAGCATCATCATCAGTGGAATGTGAAGCCTAAGGAGCGTAGATCGAATACAATAAATGAATCTTAAACGGAACTGGAAACAGAGAGCTTTGGCAGAGCATATCATCAGCAAGTTTCCTGGATAAATCCATCTTGCATTGAGCTGATCATCATCAAAGGCAAAAAACGCATAAAATATACGTTTTCTCATTTCAGAGAGCGTGACAGCAGATGAATGCCCGAATGCATCATAGATCAAACAGACAACACTAAGTACAAATGCAATGCAATGTCCATGTCGGATCGTATATTTCTTGGAAGAAGAGATGCTTCTATCTCACCTTAAGTGTACCTTTACAATGGTGGCATCTGAAGCAAGACTTGTGGTAAACCTTGTTGTCAGCAGTGAGCTGATCCACCAAATACACTGTTTTCTCACAGGCTTTGCACTTCTGGGTGGTGCCTGCAAAGGTCGCCATATCAAAATCAAGAGCCAAAGGTTCAAACTCGGGAGAATTGAAGGCACGAAACAAGAGATATTTCCAACTGAAGAGAAGATGAGTTGAGGTTTCTTTAGCGCTCAGTGTTTTCAAATTTGTGTGGGGTTTTGGAACATTTACAGCTCAAGGGGAAGGGAGAAGAGAGGCTTACAGGTTGGTGATGACGTGGGCCTACAGTTGAGAGTTGAGACAAAAATATACACTAATTAGCTGTCAATCATAATGGACAGTTCGGTGGGGCTGTTGATTCACTGACTCGGAGCTTCCTCGTGACGGCTCTATCTGGCCCTACTTACAAATGCTGAAATTGTGATACTTTCTCGAATTTGGTGCAATTTTGATGGGCTTGCCTCGCTGATATCTTACTACCACGTTTTTACGCCGTTATATTGCCGGTTTTCCAACATGCCGCGGTTTTGAGTCTTCCGACATTTGACGAAAGGATGATGGCTCTAGTTTTCCCCATTTGGGTTGTTTTACTTTCACTTTTACAATTGATGATTTTTCTCAATTTAGAAAGAACAACTTCTGCACTTTTATTTAGAGCGTGCCGGTGAAACCTGAATCAACGATGAGGCAGGCAAGTTATTGGGAGACCATGCACAGGAATATAACATATCTTGCGTTTGAATCCTCTCAGAATCTTTTTTTTTTCTTTTTCTTTGCAGTATTGATCTACCATTCGATCAAATAACTAATGATTCAAATTTCATATTTTAAAACTATTATTATAATATTACATAAATAAGAGAAAGAAGGTGGATATCTATTTTTTAAAATATTAAATCTAACCATTAATTATTTGATGCAACGGTGAAAATGAGAGTATGAGAAGAAAAAGAGAAAAAAAGATTTTGAGAGGATCCAAACCCATTTGAAGGATCAATTCACGAGTTAGATAATGTCTTTGACTCAAGTTGGGATCTTCATGATAACTAATACTCCTCCGATCCTTGATATAAGACCCAATTCTTAAGTTGGTTTTGGTCTTAAATATAAGACTCATTTATCATATTTGTCAATTTTTTCTAAATTACTCTTATGGATACTCCCTTAACCATAATCAAATAGAAAAGGAAGAGGGGTATTAAGAAAGATGATTATAGTGTTTTAGGAAAAACGTATCACTTTTCTTATAATTAACTAACTTACCTAATTTTTTTAATCTAATCAAATTAGTTAAATGAGTCTTATATAAAGGACCGGAGGAGTACTTTCTTACTTTTAATATAAAACTTATTTTATAATAACAATTGTAATATAACGTGGGTTTAATATGAAAACCAGAACTTTTTCTTTACAAGAAAAAAAAAAAAATCAGAGGAGTGTTACTAGCAGAACCACGCGTACATACGAGGAACATTTTCTCAGCTGAGAACGCCCTATGTCATAGTTGTGCCTATAAGTCCAACCACAGCCTCCGCCACAGTACACCAAATGAACGTGGATCACATGGAACCACACACCACTGACCCTCACATCATATAATGAAGGATTAGATACGGTCCTTGACTTCTTGAGTTGGGAATCTCCATAATAATCAATACTCTCTTCGATTCTTAATATTCTTCCAATGTTTAATATAAAACCCATTTAACTAATTTGATTAGATTAAAAAAGTTAGGTAAGTTAGTTAATTATAATAAATGTGACACTTTTTTCCTAAAATACTACAATCATCTTTCTTAATACCCCCTCTTCCCATTCTACTTGATTATGGTTGAGGGAGTATCCATAAGGGTAATTTAGAAAAAATTGATAAATATGATAAATGGGTCTTATATTTAGGATCAAAACCAACTCAACAATTGGGTCCTATATTAAGGACCGGAGGAGTATAAACTTAATTTATGATAAAAATTACAATACAATGTAGGCTTGATATTAAAATCGTAGGAGCATCTTTAGTCTAAACTTTTTCTTACGGAGTATTACAATACATCGGGGAGTAAGGGCCATCGTCTTCATTTTTTCCCCGAACCGAAAGGACCTGATTCACCCGGACATATTTGGATAAAAGTGATAAAATCTTGCACTTTCCAATCTTTTATTTCATGCTGGTCATCTTATTCAAAACATTCATGATTTATTAATATCACTGTGGAAGCAATAATTGAGAAAATTAAGGTGACCTACTACTAATAATGCTTCTTTTTATCAAAACGTAGTTCACCATTAATATTTTTCAAAATAAGCTTAATCCATTATAAATTAATAATTAATTCCAAAGCAGACTTTTTTGGCAAAAAGCATATATACAAAATATTTTAGTTTAAAATTTAATTATCACCGCTAAAATTTTGATAACATATATTCATGAAGAAAATATAAAGAAAATATGATAAATAGACGAAAATTTTGAAGAGGGGGATTCTTATTTTCACCCCAAGAGGGCAGATGTCGCTGTCATTTCATAGAAATGCCCATCACCACATATAGTCACAAATTCATCCAAGTTCCATCTCTCAAATGCTTCCTCACATTAGATGCACTATAAAAAAATTGACTTCCAGCGGCGACAAAAAGTCATCGCTGAACGTATAAAAATCGCCGTTGAAAAGTCATTACCGTAGCGACCGTGGTTGAAACTTTCGGCAACGACAAAAAAAATCGTCACTGAAAAACACTTTCAGCAGCAATTTTTAGAAATTTTAGTAACAACTGAAAGCTAGTTTTGACGGCAACCTTATTGTTGCCGTTGAAAGAACTTTCAGCGGTGACAATCTGTCGCCGCCAAAAGTGACTTTTAGCGGTGACTTGTCATCGCTGAAAGTGATGCATAAGAAAAATTGGTTTTACTGACGCCACGTCATCACTGTCGACGCCACGTCATCACTAGCCACCTCCACCTCATCACTGTCGGTCGCTACATCATCACCGATCAGATGCCACATCACTATTAGCCACCTCCATGTCATCGTCGGCCGCCTCTACATCGTTGCCATATCACCACTCTCATGCCACGTCACTCCTTCCTACCACGTCACCACCCAAATTTTTTCACCTTAAACGTGTCTTCTTAAGGGTTCGACCTTTTGACCACCTCTTTTCGTGTCCAATCGTCTTGCCGCTCAGCTGGATTGAATTTGTTTATTATTATTGTAAAATAAAATATATATTATTAGATTATACTTTTAGCGGTGACACTAATAGTCGTCGCTGAAAGTATATCTTTCAGCAGTAAAAAAACCGCAAAAAGTAGACTTTCAGTTACAAGAAAAAAATCACCGTTAAAAGTTGGACCTTCAGCGGCGACACTAATAGTGGCCGCTAAAAGTCTACTTTCAGTAGCGACACTAAAAAGTCAGCATTGAAAGTATACCTTTCAGCTATGAAAAAAAAAACCACAAAAAGTAGACTTTTAGTAACGACAAAAAAGTCATTGCTGAAAGTCAGACCTTCAGCAGCGACACAAGTCGCCACTGAAAGTATACCTTTCAGTAGTAAAAAAAAAAAAAACCGCAAAAAGTAGACTTTCAACAATGACTTTTTATTGTCACCGCTAAAAACCTACTTTCTACAGTAATTTTTTTTGTCGCCGCCAAAAATTGTCGCCTAAAGTCTATTTTTTTATGGTGATGGTACAACTACCCAGAATGGCATAAAACCATTGAGGTGCAAGGCATTTTGGATTGAAATGCTTTTCGGCTTATTCTAAGTTTCAACACACGGCTAGTCGTCACAGGTCCACGTTGTTGCCAGAAATTAGACAAATGTAACAACATAACAACACAATATTCCCTTCATCATGCACTGCGGTCCCTTGCCTGCTTCCGAGCTTCTTCTCTCATTACTGCTTTGACATATATCTCATAACAGCATCCTGCAGAAACATACGAAAAGCACAAAATCATATTGGAAAAACGCACAGGCGACATTAAAAGTTAAGGATCGATTCTTTGAAACAAAATGATGGTTATCTCTATCCATATCCGATCTAAATACAGATCCTCCCCCTCAAAGTTTGATGATATAAAAGAGTTACTGCATTAAACATGAACAATTTATACCATGGGCAGGTATGGAATAGAATGATACTTTCTCTGTCCCGATTTACGTGTCCTGAATTGGATTTTCATTTTGTCCCTAAATATATGTCCTGTCCCAAATTTCAAGGTATAATTGCTTCCAATAATACCCGTGTTAGATGGAGATCATTAAATGGATGGAATACCGTTGCATTTCCTATAGCCGGAACAGACCTTCCAACTGAAAGGAGCTCCAGCTCTCAACTTTTAACAGCAAACTGGAATTACACCCATAAGCACATTGTTCAATGCTAAAGATACCACCACCTCCGAGGATTTATTTTGGTTCCAAATATAAGAATTTAATCCACTTTGTTTTTCAAATTGATAATTTTTCCCTAAAAATCCCTATTGATTGCACATATTAAGGGGATTTCTATCAAGGGTAGTTACAATGCACATGATTAGAAAGAATATTCTAAGAAAAATAATATATGTTACAAATAACTAACTTAACTAATTTTCTCAATGTTCACAAATTAGTTACCTAAATCTTATATTGAAGACTGGGCATAGTTACAAAGAGTAGTCTAGGAATAATGAATGTAGAAAAACTTGCATACGCGCACACAATGCACTCAATGAGACATAACCTATTGACTCAATAAAAGACTAGCCTTCTGAAAATGGTACATTAGTAACCTCTCAAGTGCCCCAAGAATCCAGAGGACACTATTCTCCTAGAATGGTATATTTAGGAAATATCCACTTGTCAAAGATATCAGAAAAATAAAGAATGTCTATTTCTTTTATCCCCTATTAGTCCATGCATGATATTGGTTTTATTCATATTGTTGCTATTTCTAAACGATGAGAACTAGATAACCCTATCAGAGTTAAACAGAATCAGCGCATGCTTCGCCCTCCCCTAGAATAAGGAATAGAAAACGGCATACCTGCAACAACAACTACTGTTAGAACATCCCCAATTCTCTTGATTCGCGACACACTCTTCTTATACGATTTGAATGGCTTCAGAGATGGATCCTCTGCCAAGAGCTGCAAAATGATCAATGTTACAAAATTGAGCGCAAAAGTGAATCCAAAGGAATCACAAAAATTACGCTAACAAAGTGACCCAATCATGCAAAGAACAGAACTCGTCAAAGCATATTCAGTGGTATATGAGATCAACTACTTTGCTCAGGAAAATTATGCAACATTATTAAGGTTCTACAATGCTCAGAAGTTCATGCAATGGAAACTCAATGATTGTTTATGCTCTAAATTGTAAGGAGTGGCAAAGTTTATGTAAATTAGTCTTCTAAGCTCCATTCAGCTTCGCAACGAATAGTAATTATAAGCCCATCCTACAAACCAAGTAAGAAACTCATTTGAGCGACTGGGCTAGACAGAAATCCCAAAAATCAATCACAACACTACGTTGACATGATTCGTCAAACCCATTTTCACTGATCAACTACTAGCGAAAAAGGTGAAGAAAACAAAACTAATTGGGTGTTAAGCACCCAGCTAGCATTTAATACAGGTCATAAACAGGCAAACGATGACAAGTAATCTAGAGGCAACAAGTAAGGAATTGAATAGAAGAGGCAAGAGAAGTCTACGCCTTACAGCTTTTTCACGAGGCCCGGGTTCGATGTGGAATTCACGGCGCGCGATAGAAAGAAAATCCTCCCTCTTCTGCAATTTTTGGGATTTCATTAAAAAGAAAGTTTAAAAATCCAGAGAACGAATCTAATTTGACATGGAAAAATTAGTTTTAGTAATGATTGAAACAATCGCAACCGATCAGCGGAGAAGATACCAAAATACCTGGGAGTGAGATCGGAAATGGGAAGCAATGCTTGTTTTGCTCAACAAGAACGCCATTTTGGCTTTTCGCTGTGACCTTAGTCAAGTGAATAATACAAATGGATCACAGAACCCTGACACAGCGGAACCCCACACGAAGCTCGACGGACGGGGTATGGATGTTTTCTTGTTTACAACCGGGAATCCGGGATTAATTTTTTCTTTCTTTATAAAATTAAACCCCCGAGTACTATTATGGTGGTTTGTCAGTGTCACTGTCATCCAAATTTCTGAAGGGTTAGCTTCTCGTCACAAAGACAAACCAAGCATCGAATCTCGCAGGGCCTACGCTCATTGTTCGATTTCTTTTTTTGAAAACAAATTCACTGTTGGATCATAACAATGAAATGTGTGCTTTTCATTTATAATATATCGACAATATATAGGACCCATAATAAACACTCAGGCAGGCCCGACTAGTTGCCACTACCATCCTTAGAATGTTTTAGAATTAAAAAATATCATAGTAATTAATTTAATTAATATTTTTAATCTACTTAAATTAGTTAATTAGTTTTTCAATTCTTAAAATTGATACTTGAAAACTATTTTTAAAATTTATCATTTACTTATGTTGATTTGACTGGAGATAAATATAGTAAGATCTATGTCCAACTTTCCTAAACTTCATGCCTCGTGTATTTTCTTTACGAATAATGTTTGCTTGGTCAATAAGCCAACTAAAATTTGATTATGTTTGAATCAAGACTATTCCCATTTCAGGGACCCTATGAAATGGAAGCAAATGAGCCCAAACTATTTTTGTCTGTGGAATTTTGTTTGAGTGTGATAAAATTAAGATGGATGCTAAAATATAAAAGAGTGATAGTCCTTATAATGTAGCATGTTAAAGTTTAAATTCATATTTAGTGTCATGACAGTATCTCAAGTAGAATTTGTCCTTATAAGGCTACATATGTATAACAAAAAAAATTAAAAATTTATAATTACAATAATTAGTGTTTTTAAAGTATCTGATAATATCTCAAATATAATTTTTTCTTATAAGGATACATATGCATAACAAATAAAAAAATTATAATTACAATAATTAGTGTTTTATAACCTAATTTCTGGAATGTCGCAAAAGTGTATTTATTTATCCTATAATCTGGATGCGGTGTAAAATCTAAAAAAGTTATAATATAATAAATTATAACAAATTTAAAACATATTGTAACACTAAAAAGATTACGTAGCTTAAATAGTTTGGTGTGCACGTTAAAGATCCGACAGAGAATTCCCACCACATAAGTGTATGGATTAATCGGATTTGAACCACTCGAAATTATTCAGAGTATCGTGTGGCATGCATTTCAACCACGTAATACCGTTAATATTTAAGGCAGAGCAGTGTTCATGGAGCTGATATTTCCCATATTCCCATTCAACGGGAATTCTCAGCATCAGCAATGGCATTGAGAGGAGCAGCCGGTGCTTCCATTGCTTCTGTCTCCTCTTCATTCTTTGCAAGACGAAGAACCCCAATTTTCCTCTCAATCCCTCACCATTTTACGCTCAAACCCCATAATCCTCCTTCATATCACCCCAATACCCTTCCAACCGTTCCTATTTGTCGACCCGGTGAATCCCCTGTCCCCTTTCCATATGTTATCTTCTTAGGTTTTGAGCAAACGAGATGAAATTTTCTTTGTGGCCTGCATTTTTTTCCTGGATATATGAATGGGGTTTCCCTGAGATTACTTCCTTATATCTAGTTGAACTCAAGTCCTGATTGTTCTTTCATCGTCCAGGATTTCAATGTCAAATTCGGGCAATTAGTCAGGCAGCTGCGGAGATCGAAGTCTCCAAGAAAGAAAACGAAGAACAATCACCCAGAGACTGGAAGATTAAAATGCTTTATGATGGAGATTGTCCACTTTGCATGCGCGAGGTGTGCCTTATATTACTAGTGCTTACGCGCAATACTTTTACTTTGGCGCAAACAATGTGGACATAGGTGTTTTGGGTGTTTTATTGTTGGCCAAAAAGTGACATTCTTTAAGATTTTTGCTCTGATTCTCTGATGAAAATGTAGTTTAAGCCTAAATTGTAGTTTGTTAATTGTGTCAGGTCAATATGCTAAGAGAGAGGAATAAGAACTACCGTACAATCGAATTTGTCGATATAAGCTCAGATGACTACTCTCCGCAGGAGAATCAAGGCCTCGACTACGAAACTGTGAGTTTGCACTCTCTATGTTTTCCCTGTTAAATGCAAATTTCCTTGTAAGCATAACCGCTTATTGTGTCTCCAATAAGAATGGTGTAAATCATGAAGTTCCTCTCTTCACTGTTCTTTCTTTCTTTCTTTTTTTGGGTGAACTTTTACGGTTCATTTGGAGGGTTATGACAACTACTTTTCGATTGTATATATCGTGACCTCGAAACTCCATATAGCCCCACTTTTCTCAAAATGAAGTCTGTCAGATCTTTTTCTCTTTAGACATAATTGCTCTATCTTTTTCTTTTTGTTTTACAAAATTTATATGATGTGGTTAATTGGTTATTCGAAGATGTTTACCTTGTGAGGAAATGTTCTCGCCGGCAATGCGCGTTTAATATTTAGCAGGCAAGATTACTGGCATTTCTTTGATCTGGAGAGATGCTATGACAATGTGGTTATTTCTCTTTCAGGTTATGGGAAGAATTCATGCTATTCTCTCCGATGGAACTGTGGTCACAGATGTTGAGGTATGGCTTCTTTCCTGGTCGTCCTTAGTTTCAAATATGGGATAATTCTTGTGCTTCTGTGACATCTGTGAGTAACCTCGCTCCATGATTTCATGATCTAAATATGAGTGCTTTGAAGTGGTTGTACAATGTGTGGAGTTGAGCTGAGAAAATCTTTATGGACTACTAAAAATTCACAGATTAGAGCTTCATTCTTAGGCATACTACTCGCATATTCAGTTTAAGCCAACGCAGTGCGTCCTACACATCGTCATATAAAATCTGACGTTGACATGCCCAAAAAGGGTTGCTGTTAAGGCCTTTAATATAATGTTGAATCTTCGGAGGAATATTTGTATTATGGTCTTATTTAAAGTTTATATATTATTAAATGTAAATGTGTGTTTGTATGTGCATGAATATCATGCCAGTGAGATATATTGCAGGCATTTAGGAGATTATATGAACAAGTTGGTCTTGGTTGGGTTTATGCCATTACAAAATATGAACCAGTAAGTCATCCTACCATCCTTTTGAAATGCCTCGGCTCACTTTTGAACTTTGGCACACCCCCACTCTTGCTTTACTGCAGTGAATATGGTTTCTTTATTTATACATCATGTTTATTGACGTAAGAAAATTCCTTCGACAGATTGCTACAATTGCTGATGCAGTATATGGTGTGTGGGCTAAATACCGTCTTCAAATTACAGGTAACAGCAAAGAACACTTTACATGAACAATTTCTGCCAAAGTTTTCTGATAATTATTCTGTCATAGTTCTGTTGCCAAGAGTAAAAGCTTTCCTGCTTTAGTTGTGCTGAATTAGCCTGATGTAGTGATATTCATATTAGAGAAGCATAAAGTCTACTAGCCCGGATTGTATTGATAGGCTGTCTTCTCTCACATGATCAACAGATATGCATCCACGAGTTGGCACGCATTATGCAAATTTTTGTTGCATTTTTCACTTCTACATGATTGAATCAAGACTGGCCTCTGTTGTGATGCTCACCAATATACTAATGCTCAGATTGTCAAATTGATATATTCATATCTTTTTTTGCTTTAATTTCAGGCCGACCACCTATGGAAGAAATATTAAAAACTCGAAAAACTAAGGTAGGTACAGTGCAAATGCAAAAGTTATTATATTTGTTATTATAGAACAAATCTGCTGGATAAAACAGGGCAGAAGTATGGGAAAAAGATTGGAGTGTCTGAGTAGAAACAAAACCTTAGTTTTAAAAGTGCTTTTATGGTATACAAAGTAAGTACGTGGAAGAGTTTGCCTCAATTTGCGAAAAAGTACTTTTCAAAAGCACTTTTTGGGGTTAAAATGAAAAAAAATGATGATAGAAAATCTTCTAAGATTCTGGAGTTATCTCGGGACTAAAATTGTTTCAACTCATGCATTCATGGAGCAGCTAAGAATGAAACTTTTTTATTTTTAGTTGGAAACAGTGAAACAGTTTGTAATGTTTTGATTAAAATTTTGAAGACTATTTGTTTGTTTAAAACGTAGGACTTCCCACTCTATTGTAGCTTTAAAGAGATGTGATTGTTTGAGCTCAGCAAAATGCCCTAAAATGAACAAAATTTTAAATAATGCGTAGATAGATGTAGAACTACGAAGTCTCATTTCTATAACTAACCCTACTGTCTGATACCAAAGGTGATGCTTCATACAGTAGATACCCGGGCAATCTGAATAAAGACTGCTAAGATATGTCACAAATCAATGTGCATAACGTTAAGACGTCTTAGATAATCTGATTCCATTCAAGGGTTTGTTTTGGATCCTAATTGTTAATTAGCTCTTTTAGCACACACTTCTCTCACTTTAATATGCTTGATTTGAGATCTGTTTGGCGCTGATATGCATTTAGTTTTCCCTGTTCTTTACAGGGTGAAGTATGCAAAGACAGCAACACTTGCAAGAAGTGAATTTCCATGATAGCTGATGGTTGTGGTCATTTTATTCACAACTAGTAAAGTTTGCATTTATATGAGCTTGGTTTGAAAAACAAGCCAACATAGATACGTGTCACAGCTCTTCTCCATGTTAGCCGTAATTCATGTCTATTTCAGTACATGTATTAGGTAACTCTTTTTTTCTTTTTTCTTTTTTCCATTTATAAATTTTGCTGCCGTGAGCTGAAATAAGAACTGGGAATGTATATAGATATCACTTGGGGCATGTGTATCATCAGGGAAGGATATGTAGAATAGTTCCATTTGCACGTAAATACACAAACACAGAAAGTTCCCCTATCCATGCTGTGTGCGTATATTTCCCTACTGAGCGTGGGGATTACTTTTGGTTGCCCTTACTTTTATTGGATGAATTGTAAGATCTTGAATATATGCGTCCTTACTCATTATCACTTGTATGTAAGTCATTTATTTTTCTTTCTTCCTATAATTTTCATAAATTTAAGAAGATTTTTTAATATTTTATTAGATCTCTGAATTCCCAATGACCAGTACTTGCTCCAACTGAGACAGAAGAGGGTAAGTAAAAGGTTCCATTGGCATGTGCATACACAAACAAACAGAAAGGAGCACTCATGCGTGTGCTTGTCTATATAGATCCATTTGGTATACTAACAGATATCAGATATAGTCCCTCTCATCCCATTAAGACTCTTGTAAACTTGCTGATGTTATTGTCTGAACTCCCACCTGGAGCTGCAGCTCTGGCGGCACTTTCGCGCCATTTAGAAGCATTCCTTCTGATATCTTCACTTTTTTCTCCATCCATAACATCTCTTATGCATCTATCCAGCACTTCCCCTCTTAAAATCCCATCTGTATCCTTATTTGCTCTTAAACCCACTCCCCATAACTCTTCTGCAAGCTTAGCATTTGTAGGCTGATCACTCCAATGAGCCACACCCACAATTGGCACTCCCATGCTTAATGCTTCTAACAAGGAGTTCCAACCACAATGAGTTACAAAGCAACCCACAGCTGGGTGGGCCAACACTTCCACTTGGTTGCACCAAGTCACCACCAATCCTTCATCGTTTAGCAGATCTTGTGGTAATTTGTCGTCAGACTCTTTCAGAACCCATAAGAAGTGCTTCTTGCTGGCCTTCAAGCCCTTGGCAATTTCTTGGGCCTGTTTGACTGAAGTAGTTCCCATGCTTCCAAATGACACAAATACTACTGATTTTGGTGGTCTCGTGTGCAGCCACTTCAAGTAGATATGGCTGCTTGGTTCCCAGAAACTAGCGCCGTAAGCTGTGTCGCCGTCTGATGGTTGGCCAAGGCAGGCTGATGGAATCATTGGACCAACCGTTACAAGTGGCCACTGGCCTTCCAATGACTTCACTAGCTATCAACGACAATACAAACAAGTCACTTATGAATGAGCAGACTAAAGGTTAAAAACTCGTTTTTAAGCTCTGAACTTGTCTAAATCATGTGTGGCAACTGTCAAGAAAATTTTGGCTTTATTTTGTGCTTATCTGCCAATCAGTATCTGTTTCAAATAATCTAGGGGCTTTTAGCTTGTTGCAGTTTTATACAATTAACCTAGAGACTAAGCAGTACTTGCTTCCACGAACATGTGCAGTTTAAGATGTATGCAAGGAAGAAAAGCAAGTCCCGTGTACAGTCTCAGTCACTTCAGTAACAGTTCTAAATATATAATTGCACATTCTGACGATATATATATATATATATATATATATATATATAAAACTGCACATAGATAGTCAAGGACGTGATTAATAGTCAATATAAAATACGAAAAATATTTTTTTTAAATACTGTTTATAAATTATGGTGCAACTCAATTTAGACGAGATATCATGCAAGTGCATAGGCACCACTCCAACTAATGACATTAGTTATGCTCCGGGGAAAAATTCATCTCTCTCTCTCTCTCTCAATTTATAAGTTCTAATATTCGGTGCAATATGCGAGATGACAAATCAAGTTTTATCTAGCTAATACTAATTTTAGTCCTTAATATAAGAACTTGTTTGATTTTTATTTTGGTCTTAAATATAAGACTCTAATTCATTTTCTCTCATATTTATTTATTTTTTTCTCAAAGTAATTCTTGTAATAATGATAGTTCTAACCAATACATTTGATTGGTACGGATATTTTAAGAAAATATCTATTTATTATAAATAACTAATTTAATTACTTTTTTTAATTTACTTAAATTAGTCAACCAGCTTTTATATTAAGGATTCGAAGTAGTAAATTATAAAAGGATCTTTACATATGAAATGCGACAATACACTCCTTTTACTGTTCTATTAAGTAATCGGGCCCTTCAATCTAATTAATTTTAAGTTTGACATGCTTTTGAACAAAAAGCAAACTAATTGCCTGAATCGCCTAATAAACAAATATCTCGAAACATAAATGTGAGAGTTTAATTTACCAATATTAAACGCTTGAGATGTACGAGTCTTGAATGAAATTTCAAGAACTTGTTTATGTTTTTTTTTTTTACTTGAAACTTATATGTAATTTTTTTTAAAAAATCTAACAACATAAATAATATCAAGTTTTGGTTTTAAAAATTTAATAAAATACTCATAATAATTTAGTATTACTCCCTTGAAGGCAAAAAATAATTCCAGATTTTCCTTTATACTAGTAATACTCTGGAAAATTGAAAAAATACTCCTAACAATACTCTCTCTCCCTCTGCCCTGGCGAGTCGCTTCACGCGCAGACACAATGGAAAGATTAAAATTACTAATTAGACCTTAAAGTTACCTCATTTTCCAGCTCCTGAAAGGTGTTGCAGAAAACCCAGTCATTGAGCTCCAGAGCCTGAAACCCGTCCATGATTGCGGCCAAATAAGCCGAGTGATCAACTGGTCGCGCAATAAAACTTGGCAAATCAGAGAGTTCAAGACTGGGAAGGCCAGGCAGTGAGATTGGAAGCTCTTCATCGTTCAAAGGCAAACTGAGGCAGCCCTCTCTGATTCGCCAATACAGTGAACACAGAGAAGCTGAATTTGTCAAGAACGCTGCTCCATAGATCCCTAACTGCCTAGCCACATCAAGCGCCCAAGGAAGCAGAGAATCGTATACAATGCAACGAACAGGAGAAGAAGAGTCTCTGAACCTCGATACAAGCTCAGTTAAAGCTTTGGATCCTTCAGATTTATAGGACTCTAAGTAGGCTTCTACGCTTGGAGCTTGCTTGAAGCCGCCTTCATCGTAGCCATCTGAGATGGGTTCAATGGAAACTGTGGGAGCGTTTATGTGCTTGATTGTGTAAGGGGTGGTGCCAAGAGTGGCTCTGAGACCTTTTGCGACGAGTCGTTTTGCGAATTGAAGGAGTGGGTTGATGTGCCCTTGAGCAGGGTAGGGAAGAACAATGACATGGCCTTTTGGGGTGTGCATCTTCTCACCCTCACTCTTTCACTTTTGTTGCATTTTTTTGCTTCGTGAGATGGTTTCGCTTTTATTTATACTAAAAGGTTCCTGGAACATTTGTCGTTTGATTAGTCAAACAAAGAAAATAGAGGGGATTGATGAGCCAATATCAGCATTTCCTGTTTTGACAAGGAATTTTAAGAAGAAAGGTCATTAGGCATGGATTGACGAATCCTTCTCTTTTCTTTGTTTCTACTTTCTACTGTGAATTATGTTTTTGTAATTATCATCTACTAATTTTTATTTTTACAAGTTATTTAATATATGAATATAAAAATTATGTTTTGTTCTATGTATTATAACGGGATAACTAAGCATTAATATTCTAGAAGAATAAACATATTCATATAATGTTCGGATCTGATAAGAAATGTATGTCGTGTTCCAGCACGTCTCATTGATTTTTAATTCAATACTTTTGGTGGTGTTGTCCATGTATAGTATGCTATTGTGGAGTTCAGTTGTTTTCCTATGTGCATACGTCAGGAAAATATTTTCAGGTTTTGAATTAAACGCCCATAAGAAATTAATCAAGTATTTTTATCTTACTCTTTAAGAATCAGTCATGTTCTCTGTACATATCAAGTCATCAGGAGTCATTTTTGCATCGTTATTTGCCTTTTTCTTGATTAATTGCTCTCTTTTCCTTTTAGCTGTTATTTATATAGCTGTTGTGCTCTCACCTACTTGTGGCATTTTGCTCATGAATAAAATTATAAATTTTATTTTCACCCAAAAAAATTCAGTTTTCTTTGCTCTGTTAACAACTGAATGCTGGCACCAAAAGCATATATTTGATGTGCATAAGCTATGATGAATGAAAAAAAACGGCTTTGTCCCAAGAAACACACGAGCTCTGATGTATGTTGTCCAGAGTGAATGATCTTATTGGTAGAAGCTTGCTTACAAAATTATGATTCGGCATAGAAGCCACTGAATCGCCAGGATAGCTTCCGCTAGTCTAAGCACCTCCTCAACAACCAGAAACCACCGCCTCACTGTATAACACTAAGCATGTACAATGAAAGGAAAGCAGTTCAATGACCTCGGGCAAGATATATGACAGCCAAGGTCATCGAATGTGTATTTACATCTGTACTTTCTCAACAATTTACATCCTTTTGTTATTTGCCTTTTGAGGCGGCAATCATGAACACAGCCAGTTTGCTCATGTTAGAACACAGATCCATTCCTGCAGTGTTCAGCTTCTCAATCCTGGCTTCTTTTTTCTCAATGGGAGCCATTTTAGGACATTGAATAGCATTCTCCATCTCTTCTGAGCACTCGTTACTTCTGCTTGCTTATCCATACGTGGAGGGCGAATATCAGTATCAAAGAAATGATGAGCCTGGTCATCGAAGACATTAGACATGGTATCTGTTTCACCAATGAAAGGATTAGAGGTTTGGACTGGAAAACCAAGTGTTTGGTCATATCTAAAATTCATGCTGTCGCTGATGGGCAACAGGTATTCATCAAAGCCACTGGCTCCCACAGGGTACACAGATGACAAAATATCCGGAGTAGGGCCGCTCCCTTGGAAGTAATCAAATCGATCAGTCTTCGGAGAAGACATAAGCTTGTGGGCACTAAATCCATCTGATCTGGGTGAGTATGAGGAGGAAGGTACATTGTCTAAGGATGTACACCCCTCCATTAGAGAGGCTTCATCATTGAAAGAGTCAAATTCCTCCTTTTGTTGAATTGCTGAACTTACTGAGCTTTGAGCATCAGCCTGACAGCATACATTAGGCTTAGTAAGATGATTGAAAATGGGGAAAGGAATGGAGCAGGAGACGCAAAAACAAAACAAAAAGTAGATAAGAGAAGAGTGCCTTTTCAGTTTCAGACAGCTTATCTACAGGGACATACTGGCTTTCAGAGAGCAGTCCCGTCACTTGTCCAACAGCATTAAAGACCGCACCAGTTTTTGGTTCAGAATGAGAAGGGAAGTACAAAAATCTCCGCGTATCGAGCACACATGTTCGAGCATGCTCCACTGTTGCTTCCCACATTTTTGTAGACATTCCTGTCCCCAGTATCTGCACAGGCCCAAGATTTTTTTTCAATTTAGCAAAGATAAATAAATACTTTATTTATAACCAGTACGAGAAATAACAAGTGCCTTTTTATCGGAACTTTATAATTGTTTACTGAATGTCTGATATAAAGAATTCAGTCATGCCGTAAAGAAGAATAGATATAAAAAATAAGTCGCACACACACATCCAACCAGAGAGGTGTACTTCACAGTGGAGAAGATAATTTTAAGCTCAATGATCCAACCAGTGGACAAACTAAGCTGTAAGACGATCTTTTTTGTAAACTCCTTTGAATGGCAAAATCTCGCAGAAGAATTCGAAGTATATGACAATTAAAACTCTATATGCTCGGGATTAATTAATAGGTAGTGATTGCAAACACACGGGGAATAAGGTGGTAGTTAATTTATCTTTACACTGCGTAGCTTTGCTGGGTCTAGGTTGAGATGTGTGAGAAAATCTTCTACAGTATTGATCCTCTCCAGACTCAGCCGCTTATGGAAAGCTCCGTCCTTGCCAATCTTTTCTAATCTCCAGACTTCATCAGACAGACTAGGAGGGTGGTGTTTCTTGTACACTGCAGCCAAAAATAATTACAAGTAATTTTCAATTCCTCTCTTGCTTTGATAAACAAATTCAAAAGCTCAAATAAGTACCCTTCTATGATATCCACTATGATAAAGGGATTCTGAGTACTTTTTTTTTTTTTGGGAAAAAAAATACTCTTAAACTAAGATTGATCATTTGCAACTAAACGAAAACATATATGGGAAAAGAACAAATGTTCAGAACCAGCAAACAACTTGAAAATATGGAATATCCAATCTAGCTCATTTTAGCACCACAAAAAGTCACTCGTGCAAATAAATTTCTTTCATGCATGATATTTGCTCTTTTTCATCATCTTCTCAGATGTCTGCGGGGTTCAAGATGGAATGCACTCAAAAGTAAACTCAGATAGCATTTGCAAATAATATATCTTTCTGCATCCAAGGAAAAAGACAGAAGTATATTTGAAGTACTTACATTCCCCTCGGTGATCCCTGACAATAAATGAGTCTGTCTTTGCTTCTTTTATTCTAAATCCATCAAAGTTATTTACAACTCTAGCTCCTAGCTTGAACTTCCGGCTCCTTGTCCAGCTTGAATTATCTGTAAATGAAATTTCACCCACTGCACCGATCCCATCTTTAAGATCCAAAAATACTTCTCCCGTAAGAAGAGGCTTTTTTCCATCTCTCTCTTTTACGATGTTGCTCTTAAACTCTTCAGGCATCCAAATGTCACTTCTGTCTTCAAAATCACCCTCAAGTACTACAATTTCCACCTTAGCTGCAGACTCAGGCCCTGAACTAACAACCTGTCCTGTCAACGAATCAAATAAACTTATCCTTAAATTGGAGCCATCTTCCCCCTCAATTCGAGCCCCCGTAAAGATCGGAGGAGAAATATTGTTTTCAAACTGCAGCTGCAAATTCCTGGATTCAGGAGTTAGAACCTCCTCACATGCCCTGAAAAAGGAAAGTGAAAAGAATAGAGGAGTCAAGCAGAACTCGTTCAAATCATTGGGTTTCCTTTTTTTTTCCCCCCTCTTTGTTCTAATCCATTTCATGTACATTGTCGCTGCAAATTTCAATATCGACGGAGGAATGTTTCTTACTGTTTCATGCTCGTTAAATGTCTGTTTAGGGCTGATTCAACTTCTTCCTTAACCTGCAAAGATGTCATGTCTAAGATTGGTATCTGACGTCAACTATCCAGTAAAAGCAGAACTAATACATCACAAAATCAAAATCCAAACTTGCTACTACCAGAAAAAGAATTAATTATCAACATAGGATTCCAACTGGAAAACCACCTTTTACCTGAGTCAATACTCATAGCACAAAATTTGACAGGAACACAATGTCACAGCTTTTGGTTCATTTATCCAAAGTGAAACAAGTCTCATTAAGTTGCTCGAAAACATTAAATCTTCCTCTCCAAAAATAATTAATGTTAATTAAAAAATATATATTCCATTCGAGAGAGAAAAATTATAAAATGCGTAACAAAAGCCCGATAAGTATTTCACTCATCTGACCTAACATGTAAACTTTACTTGGATGAAAACATTTATCTCCTTCATTATATATATATATATATATATATATATATATTGGTTGCATCACTGTCTCAGTCAGGATCCATTAAGCAAGTTGGTATCACAGGAAACCAGGAAATTCATATTCATTCAAAAATATTCTTTCTTCTTGGCCCAGGAAATAAAAAATAAAAAGGATTCTTTCTTGAAGAATTTATATGGTTTTTGTCTGACTTCTTCCATTTATCATAAATGGGGGGCCATTTTAAGTAGAACATCTCACCCTTTTTTTTTTCTCCAATTTAACATTCAGGCCTAATCATCTAAAGACCTAAACAAAACATGGGGCTTGAAATACAAAGAAATTAGAAATGGTTCAATTTCACTTTTTCCAGCTATTCTGTGAAGCCAGAAGTCCAATCACAAAAGAAAGACCTATGACCAGGTAAAGGATAAAAATGCAGCTTTTATGATTAGAGGGGCTAGTTGGAAGGCCGTGTGCAGACACCCACAATGTGGAAGGATACCTCATATGAGTTATACCAGGCTACAACAATTGCCAACATCGAATGGATGCCACAAAAAGTTATCTGCAGCATGCAAAGCATGATGGTTGACACAAATCCATGCCTAAATTGTCTAAGGTGAATGCAATTATTCTAGGGTTTATGAATTGCGTCCATAAATTATCCGAGTGAACTAAAAGTAAACATCACCATATATTCAAAAACAGCATAAATTTTGAAAAAAGGATGCCATACCAGAACTACTATAGAAATTGAACAATGAAAATATCTGAAATAAGAGAGTTCCATACCACTCGACGAAGGAAGGGCTCTAGCGTTGGCTCCAGCCAATTTCGGACATTGTTTAATTTCATCACCTCCACCACACTGAACAACATTGAAATTAATTAAAGTACAAAGTCAAAATTGAACAGTTCAGTTAATCAAACATGTTATATAATGCCACTCATATTTTCCTCATTAAATAACACCAACTTAAATTATATCAAATAGAAGGTTAATTTGACAATCATTTCTCATTAACGACCATGTAAGGAATACATATATGATATCAATTTCCCACACGCAGCCAAATTCCATTCATTTCGAGAGAAGTTCAACATAATATCATAAGCCTTAAGTGATACATAGATTCATCGATAATATATTTTGTACCATTTTCTTCATTTCACCCGCATACCCTGAAGGTGGGTTGCCCGACATTTAATCCAAATGCAATTTGCTTCTAGGTTGAAGCACAATTAACACCATATAAATTCTGATAAATAAGCAAACCCAATGATATATCAAGCTTTCGGCACTCAGACAAATTAATAGCAATCAAATTTAGAATGGTTATGGAGCATTCATCGCTAATTCCCCTAATAGAACCCAGCGAAGTTTAAATGCATACATGCACTTCGCATTTTTAGGAATTCACATCATAAGAACAACCAACGAGTCAGATACAACGACAAAAAAATTATCCGTTTTCTCACACAATATTCCAATCTTCTTAAATCACAGCGACGAACAAAGGTTGGGGCGGATTGAATAGAAAATCGATGGGAGGAAAAGAAACAGAAGCCTCTTACCTGGAAAAGGGGGGAACCTTTCTGCGCTTATCCTCCGGACTGCTGCTCTCTGATTTAGCCTTGCCATCTTCGGGGCGTCTCTTCTGCGACATCGCCGAAGCTTAAGCAAGACTGCAAGAGGCGCAAGGCTATGCGGAGGCGCTGGTTGTGAGCATGCAAATCGAAAAACATGCGGCTAAAGAAACAGAAGAGAATCAAAAGAGGACAGCCTTAAAGCCAGTAAATGACGAAATTATTGAACTGGTAAAACTACAAAGAGTTATGCCCCTTTTGTGACTCTGTCTGTGTGTGTGTGGGAGGCATCTCTTACCATTAACTGAGTTTGTTTGCTTACGTGTGGAATGCTTCTTGGCCACGAAGCTCACTGGCCATCTACTTTTCGTTGCTCCTTCGGCTTCAAGCAAAGCTCAACTACTGATGCTACCATACCATCCCTTGCCTGGTAATATGAATTTGCACGAGGAGAGAACGCGGCTTCCTCTATGGGCTCACAGTAAATGGTGGGTCTTTCTCCAGGAATTGTGCGGGGCCCAATGAAAGCGCGTTTCCTGACTCAGTAAAAGGGGGGTCCACACTCCGCCGCTCTTGAACTCGCGTTCGATGAGCATGAGCTAACCTCAGCGTGAAACGTGACTCGTCCGTGACAAATTATCCTTTTTTTTTGTTTTTGGCCCTTTCAAAGGTTACTAACCGGAAACTGGTAAATTGAGGTAGGTGTGTACGGTAGCTTCAAAATATTTTTTTATAAATTGAGACAAATTTTTCTATATATATTCATTTCATATATTATAAAAACACTTTTAAAAATATAATTTTATTTCTACCCAAATAAAATAAAATTGGAGCTGTCAGAATTTTCTCATCTTGGGAATGTTTGGAGCTACAAAATCGAAAGCGGAAACCAACTCGCATATTTTATTCCTAAAAAACAGACGTGCAGTACAAGGGTACAACTACAACCGGTCTTGCAGTCAAAATGCTTTATCGCATATATCATCCATGTTTATTGTTTTATTTTAATAAGAAAATGATAAATAAAAACTCTTAATATGTGAAATTAAAATTTGGGACTTTTAATTTGAAAAATAGTAAATAAAGATTTGATTTTATATTGTAAATATAAAATATTAATAAAATGTCTGAAATGTCCCTCAGCCAAATGATAAGTTCACTTTAACAAATAATAACTTTAATAGGCTAAATTACAATTTGGTTAAGGGTATGCCAAATGATAAGTTGACTATAAAAAATGACAAGTTCACTTTAGAGAATGACTATTTCAATAGACCGAATCACGATTTGACTGACAGATATTTCAGATATTTCATCAAAATTTTATATTTACAATATAGGACTGGGTCTTTATTTGTCATTTTTTAAATTGAGGGTTCCAGATCGTAATTTCACATATAAGGGGGTCTTATTTGTAATTTTTTCTATTTTAATTTTCATATTTTTGTAACAAAAAAATCATATTTTTATTACTTACCAAAATTTAATTATCTGTTAATGATATTTTTATTATTCATTTTATGTATTAATTTAATGTTGATTAATCAATGTCTGTTGAACAAGGATCGTTATTTTTTCTTCTTTATATAAACTTCTGGGTTTTTCAAACTTCATCTCATTATTATATTTCCAGTAATAAATGCCCGCACACGCGCGCACACATAAAATTTTGAAAACAGATATGTTACCGCAAAGGTGAGACCACTTAATAATTGATTGTTCTGAGAAGACGACAATATTCTCAAGGGGGAAAAACTAAAACAAAGACCAGCCTGAAAGGAAGTTTTTTTAAAAAAATTATTCAATTGGTTAATGAAAGATAAAAAAATTGCCCCGAACATCAATATATTTGTTCAAAAGGGAGGGGAAAAAAAAAAAAGGAGCTGCCACCTGATGAAGACGGCATCATCAAACAAAAGAATTGCAAAAGTGGAAAGCGGTTCAAACTCCGGTTTGTTTTTGTATTTATCACAGACATTGTGATATTAGAAGATTCAATTAGAAGTGAAAACAGACAGGCCTATTTAGTAATATACTGGCTTGAGTCTAGCTTGTAGTCTATAATAGGTATTTTCTTCAGTATGAGTTTGGTCTGTATAAAGGTCTAGTCTTGCCTAAACCTATTAAAAAAGCCTGTAATTTTAAAATTTTCAAAATGCATAGTAAAAAATATATAGGCTAATAAAAAATGTAAAATATACATACAACATAATAATTATTTTTTACTATTATCTTTTATTGAAATTTTAATGTCATAAGTAATATTTTAAATCTTAATTACAGTTAATATTATTAAAAACAAGTTATAATTATATATTAAAAATTTAAAATAAGACTAGACATAGGTACAAAATAAAAATTAAAAATAAGATGAAAAAATAAGCCAAGCCAGGTCTGACAGGCTTAACAGGCTTTTCAAAAAACTTAAATATGACCTATTAGGCTAAACATGCCATCAAAAAAGTTTAAGGTTTTTTTCTATTTTGAAATAAGTCAGGCCAAATATACGCCATCATTTCCACTCCTAGATTCAATCAATGGGTAATTGAGAACAAGAAAAAAAAAAAAAAAAAAGTCCGCATGATTGGATGCTCCGGAGGGTCAGAATCAGTTAATTTTAAGTAATGAAGCAAGAATCTAACTCCTTTTCCATTTAAATAATGATGATTAGATGAGCAGACGACTCTCGAATAATTACTGTGATGAATAGTTACATGCAGAAGCATAGAGACCACAAATGGGGCTTTGTTTAATTGCCGTGCGTGACAAATTGCGACGTGACATTAGCTAGCGATTTTGAGCCAAGAGAACGTGGGCAGCCATTGAAGAAGGAGAGAATCCAAATCCAGACTTGAAGAAGAGGGGTGACGTCAATTAGAGATCGAGCATTGACTATTGCAGCATCAAAAGACAAAGAGACCGTTAAAAATCACGTCCAAAATTATTTATAAACACGATTTATATAAATTAAAATAAAACTTCTCTTATATATTTATTTCGTATTTTATAAATTATGATTAAAAAATTGTTCCAAAATCCAGCGCCCAATCATCTTGGCCTTTGACGACTCAATTTTTGGGACTGATACTGGATTTTGACAGGTCTTGAAAATCAACAAATAACGTGGTGCTAAATTGGATTAGAGAAATAGTTTTCGCTGTGCAAGGTAGATTTCTGAGAAAAATTATGTCACAGGGTGGGAAAGCACTTATTTCAAGCTAACGCAAACAGTTTATCCATTGTGTAAAGAATCTAACGAAATAAAACATAGTACTATCTCCGATATTTAATATAAGAGTTCGTTTGACTTTTATTTTGATAATAATTATAAGACCACTTTATCTCTTATATATATTTTTAAGTAGTCTTTATAATAATGGTAGTTTTAACTAATATACTTAATAAGTAAGGATATTTTAAGAAAAACAACACCTATTTATTATAAATAATTAACTTAATTAGTTTTCTTAATCTACTCAAATTAGTTAACTAACTCTTATACCAAGGACCAGAGACAGTATAATAATTTATTTATTTTAAAGATAAATTTGTCTTCGAAGCAGTAGTCAAGTTGAGCTATGCATCTTATAAATTTTCATTAAAGAATCAGCTATTTGAATTATCAGCAATTATGGTCAAAGTTCACGTGTTATTGATATTTGATGCAGTGAGGATGTTTGGTAATATGGAAAAAGAATTCAACCAAGTTGCGCACAATTCTCAATAGTGAGTTCTGAATGAAAAAATACTTTAGGAATCTTGACCCAAGATGAGAATAATTTTATAAACCGAAACCGAATGCCCTTTTTTGGTAAAGAAAAGAAAATGGAGATTCACATGGGGGGGTCACGTGAGGCCCGAAGGAACAAGGGGAGGACCACAGTAAAAGATCTGGTAGGCCTACTCAAACCTAACAAGCTCAGCCCAAACATGTTCAATGTGTTCATTAATGATAGAGCGCCTTTAATTGCCACCGACTGAATCCGCCACCAAATATGATAAGTACAGGCAATTCCATTTGATAGGGTTAGGTGAGAGCAAATAAGATATTGTCGGATATTAAATATAAATATAAAAGTACTTTGTCTTAACAAAAATTCAAATTATGTGAGGAGAAAAAATGCTCGTCACCGACCTTGCAATGGCAGCATATACTAAGCTCCAAAACCTGGGCGCCCAGTAAATTAAGATCTCGGATGCCAGATCACCCCAAAAAAAAAAAAAACTCGGGTGCCATCAATTCGGGCTCTTCTGGTTTCTCGTCCTTTTTCGGCCCAGAAAACCTAGCCCCACTTTTTTCTCGTAAGACAGATATTTTGAACTAAAATATCTTTTGGAATCTTTTCTTTTTTATGTTTAAATCAACGTGTCTTTCTTTTTTTTTGTTTTGGGTTATTGGAGGACAACTAGTCACTGTCAAAGTCACGACCTCTTGTGCACAGGAATATCTTTTTATTCCGCTGGACTGGTCCAAGCTATTCTAAATATAAAAATTAATTAAATAATTTAAAAAAATTTTAAAAAAATAAATTATTTATTATAATTAAATTTATTGATTAGAATTACTATTAATAAAGTGATTATCTTAAAAAAATAAATAAATATAAGAGATAAAATAAATTAGAGTATTATATTTAAAATCAAAATAAAAGTTATATAAATTCTTATATTAAAAACCAATAACAAATTATAATAACATATTTATTCTTCTATCATGTGCAACTACGTGCTTTTTAGAGAAAATTCTAAAACAAATGACATTTAAATTTTAAATTTTCAAATTAATATTAAAAATAATTATGTTTAAAAATAAATAACAACACATCTTCATAATAATTTTTAATTTGTGATTTTAAAATTCTACGCTTAATTTTTTTATAATTAATTAAATAAACTGTTCAGTAATCAAAAAAAAAATTTAAGAATAAAGTCCCCCAAGGTGTACATGAAAAAACAATCAACACTTTTGATTTTTTTTTTTGACTTATATGTGTGAACTTTTATTGAAAATACTGGAAATAAATCCCTCATTACAAATTTAATTAGTAAATAAAATTTAAAGATTTTATACAAATTAATTTTTTTTTTTGTGTAATGTATCTTTTTTTATGTGCAAGCCAATTATTTTTTTTTTATGCGATATGCCACCCAATTTCTCTTTATATAAATAAAACTCTTTTATACAGAAATCATTCCTTATATACAAACTAATTTTTATTTCTACATAATATTTGTGCAAATTAATTTTTTTTATCCAACTTATCATGCTTTATATGCAAGTAACCTTTCTTTGTAATTAATCATCCTAAATCTCATTTGTAAATTAAATTTTCAACGAAATATTTATCCTAATTTTTCTAATTTTATTTCGTAACATCTCCGTTATAAACAGTTCGTCAAATTTACTTTGGAGACGTACGAGACCTTGAAAAAAAAGGTTTCAGATGCCAGATATCCAATATATTTAAGAACATTAGCCCCCATTTTTATTACAAAAGTAAGCTGTTATTACATTTTTTTTTTTTAATTCCAAAACAAACACAGATGAAGCGAAAACTGATAGTAGTCCAGTAGAGTAAAGAGGGCACAAACGCTTTTGAAATTTTTTTTTTTTACTCATACGTGTGAAATTTTATTGGAAAAATGGAAGATAAATCCCCTATTAAAAATTTAATTAGTAAATAAAATCTAAAGATTTTACACAACTTAACTTCTTTTACATGCAATAAATCTGTGTGTGCGCAAACCTGACATGCCACCTAATTTCTCTTTATACAAAATAAAAATTTTTTATATACAAATCATCCCTTGCATACCAACTAATTTTCATATCCACATAATATTTATGCAAGCTACTTTGTGCAAATCACCCCCCACATACCAACTAATTTTTATATTTTCATATCCACATAATATTTATGCAAACTACTTTGTGCAAATCACCCCCCCCACATACCAACTAATTTTTATATCCAGATAATATTTGTGCAAACTTTTTTTTTTCAGCTTATCATCCCTTATATGTAACTAATCTTTCTTTATGCAATCAATCCTCCGAAATCCTATTTCAATTAAATTTTCAATAAAAAATTTATCCTAATTTCCCAATTTTATTTCATAACAGCTGTTATAAACAGTTCGTTAAATTTACTTTGGAGACGTATAAGAACTTCAAAAAAAAAAAAAGAGGTTTTAGATGCTAGATATTCGATATATTTAAGAACATCATCGCTCATTTTTTTTATTACAAAAGTAAGCCATTACCAGCGGATCGAACTGCCATCCCATGCCCCCAGAACACAAAAAGAACAGGCTTTATTATACTAACATCGCTTCTTCGCCAAGAAAATACTTGCCAGAGCCGAAACAGAACAAAGACATAGGGAGTCGGATTTTAAGAACATAATTAACTACTTTCTTCGCCAACCATTCTACATATATATATATATATTTTAATACCAAAACAAACACAGATGAAGTGAAAACTAAGAAAAACAGGAAGTAGACCAGGAGAGTAAAGAGGGCATAAAGACGAAACAAGTGACAAATGTACACACTTGAGTTGACTCCTAGAAAGAGGCAGAGGAGAGTGAAGAGCAAGAAAACAGAGCAAGGGTAGTGAAAGATCAAGGACACTTGGTCCTGTTGCCGTGGGTGGTCATATCAGTATAACAAGTTCCACAGAGCTCCCTGTTTCCCGACGTCCCTGGCGGCACGCACTTGCATCTCACACAGCAAGTCCCGCACGCCCTCTTGCACAGGTTCGGCCTCGAATGCAAGCTGCATCTTCCCGCACACAGCCCTCCACAATCTGCACATATCCACAATCCCATTTTCAATATTTCTTCTATCACCATCATTCCTCTACTCCTTAACTATATCTAATTAATACACTCACCTATGTTCTGCATCAGCTTTCTGTTCCCCTCCTTCACCGTCTGCTCATACCACATCAAAAACATTACTTCTCAAGTATCAATATTATGTCTGTGATTTCACACAGAGGAGGTAAAGCGTGTTAATATTAATACTCACTGGGAGAGGATGGAGGAGTTCTTCTTCGTCCAGATGTTGTTCAACGTCCACATCAGATGAGACCTGCGTCATGCAACACATTCAGAATACAACATCAGAGAGTTCAGGTCTCAAAAACTGTGGTGTTAAAACAGAGTGAGTGGCCTTTGCATGTTAGTGCATATACCATTGGAAGGGACAGCATCAGAAACATCGCACCCAGCACAAGAAGCAGGCGAAGCGCCATGGCTGATCAATGAAGAAAATGAAGAGCAAAGACAAGAAAGGGCGGTGTCAGACTAGAAGAGGACAGATGTTGGTTTGGACTTACAGCCCAGCGGGTGGTATTTATAGAGAGGTGAAGGGGGTCGTGGAGGATTACGAGTGACGTGCAATAACGCTCGGGCCCCTCATGACGCCACCTGTAATTATCACCGTCGGTCCGGTTCCTGGATAAGTTTGACGCCCATCTCCTCTGCTCTCTCTCCTCCTCTGTCTAAGGAAGAAGATGATGGAAGACAGATGGATGGCAGCTGGAACCACAATCATAATAATCCCAAAGGCAAATAGGAATACTACTAATCAGTCAGCTTTGGGCTGCTGGCTACACCGAAACAAGAGCCAAAGTCTGACACTGCCTCTTGGTAAGCATAAAAAAGAAGGCAAGTACTTGCCGTACTGAGCTAAACGACGATGTGTAGGGGATGGAGGAGGGGAGGGAGAAGTATCCATCTAATTCAGTGGGCCTCCAATCGCTTGTCGTTTATGCCACCTCTCGAAAACAATCAGCTTTCCAGCTGGACTCCCTCGCCCATCCACTTGTTCCCAGTCCTTTCTTATTTTGCCGCTGTTCGCCTCAGCCCACCTATCTTTAAAATAATGTTTTCTTTTTGAGTAAATTAAAAATAAGATTTGACACCTCCGTACAATATCTAAGTGGATGATTTGGCATGGGAAATTTAAACATATAAAATTATTTTAGGTGCTTTAGAGACATGTAAAAAATTATTAGATTATTTTCACCCAAAAAAATTATCAGATTAGATGAGTAGGTGAAGATAGTAAACCAAGTAACACAGTTTTCGGGAAAAAATAGAAGATAAAAAAAAAACCCTCACCTAAATTATTTAGGGAAATATTTTAGTTAACAATTTCAAAAGATTTAATTATTAATAATAATATCTTGAGGTTCATATAACTGACTTTATTTCTATTTTCTTAAAAAATGTGTCTAGTGTATTTATTATTTTAAAATATTTTATTATTTAATTTTGTCTTTAAAATACTGTTTGTGAGTGATTTTAATCCCGTCATTAAGTCTCATAAAAGGCTGATTAAGTGAAGTTACTTATCTTTCAAAATGACTCATAATTTTTCCCATAAAATATATAGGTCGGGCAGTGATTGACGTGTATGCACTCTTTTGGAACAAGTCCAGCTGTTCCATAGTACAAGTGGATTATAAAGTCTCAAACATTAAAATAATTGAAATTAAAAAAAAAATATTGAAGAGTATTTTGTATACATAATTTTTTATTATATGAAATTAGACAATCCTGTATAGGTGGAATTAAAGAATATCACCTCTCTTTATAGTATTTTCTAATCTCACATCTTTGAATTTGTTTAATCCCAAATATTAAGTAATCATTTATACTAAACACTTTTATAATACTCCTTCGGTTCTTAATATAAGACCTAATTATTGAGTTGGTTTTGGTCCTAAATATAAGATTCATTTCTCATATTTATTAATTTTCTCTAAATTACCCCTATGGATACTCCCTCAACTATAATCAAGTAGAAGAGAGAGATGTGGTATTAAGAAAGATGATTATGTTATTTTAGGAAAAACATGTCATATTTCTTATAATTAACTATCTTATCTAATTTCTTTAATCTAATCAAATTAGTTAAATAGATCTTATATTATGGACCAGAGGAGTATATATTTTTTCAATTCCAATTCTAATTCTTATGTTTTATTTTTAATGTTTCATGTCAAAGGGGGCCTTAGTTCAATAACGATTGACAAGCCAGACTTTTGAATATTTTGTAAGTAAATTTTCGAAAATAGATCCTCTCTCTTTTCTTTTCTTCGGCTCCTCCTCCCTTCTAATTTTTATAACTAATATAATTTAGACACTTTAGATTTAAGTTGCAAAAATTGAAAATAACTTTAAAAATATTGATCATGGCTTTAGTCCTTAAAATAAATTTAATTTTTGGATTCTCTCCCATTGTTACACACTTGAACCAACCCTAACTATTTTTTATTTTCATATTTTCCGTACAAGATTGAGACAAACTCGCTTTTACAAGTTCGAGACTCTTATCTGTCGTTTTTATAATAAACTATGAAACGAATTTTGTTTTCAAATAGATCTTGGAATTTATTAAATAGTTTTATATGAAAGAAGTTAAGAAAAGGAAAAAAAAAACTGGAGGTGTTTAGATAGAAACCAAACCATGGTTTCAGAAGTGCTTTTACGGATTACAAAGTAAATATGTGGAGGAGGTTATCTTGTTTTGCGGAAAAGTGATTCTAAAACCGTGGTTTTGGTTTTGCCAAACACCCCATTATGGGGTACGCCTATTAATTTATTCTGCCTCTCCCATTTTACAAAATCAGATATTGTTAAACAATAAATATCGAAAAAACTTCCTGGATTCTAATTTCTAAATCATCATGGGATTTCGGCATATTAAGAGGGTGAAAAAATGTGCGTAAAATGAAACAGCATGATGAATCATATGGAGAGCCATAAGCCACAATAACCAGCCATACTACATGACCTTCTTCTGCATGTTGTGGAGTCAACTCCACAATCTTCATCAGCGAAACACCTGTGGTCACTGCGAGCGTCAGGTACATGGCATCCACTCTCAATATGTTTCCCTGAACTTAGAGTCACCGCTGGACATACTTGCATTGACATTGCACTTATTTTGTATGCTTTCCCATCCTGCAAAACAAGAAACCCATGCATTGGCATCGTCCTTTTGTTCAAGCACAACAATGTCTGTGTCCGACACATAAATTTGACACTTGGCATAAATTATGATGCAACTCTCCGAATTATATACCAAAGGCCACGCTTCTTTACTCAAAACATATCTTTCCATTTCCAGGGTTTGCCAACAGTTTAGGCTATACTGATTTTTGAGACTATTGTTATAGTTGTTTAATATCAAATGCTTGTGTCAGCATGCATAAGAAAACTAAAATATCTAAAACGCTAATATACTGCCACGCCAATCAACCCAGGATCATCGACATATTAGAAAGATGCTTCCTTTCAGACGAACAAAAGAAATCACTACCGGAAATTGTTCAAGTACCTTCATGTAAGTCCAATTAGTAGGAATGTAAGTTTCTGGGAGCCTTTCTTGCCAAACACTTAGTACTGGAAGGGGATGGCCTTCAGTGGTAAATATGTAATTACCATCTTTTAAAAATGAATCATCAAATAGAAGATATAAATATTTGCACCTGCCAAATCATGAAAAGTTTTAATCTTAGCAATTACATATAAGGAAGAAAGTCCATTTTCAATTCCTTCTCCGCTTTAGTAAATAAAAATTAAATGGTTGAAATGGAAAATAAGAAAACCTCACGTTTCAGCAAGGAAAAAACTATGCTGATGATCTTCCAGCTCCATTGTTTTCACATCCCTGACGCTTGCAAATCCACCTTCAACTTTGGTGTATGTGTTGAGGGAATTAATTATTGTTTCACCCACTTTAATATACCATGGATCTGAAAAATACCAAAGGCAACTGAAGTAATGAGATGGCGAAGCCAATACAGATATAATTCTTGTTGAAGGCCTATACTATGCTTTCCATGTTTGTCAAGATAGAATACCAAATAACATTGGTTGATAAGCCAAAAAAGCCAATACAGATATAATTCTTGTTGAAGGCCTATACTATGCTTTCCATGTTTGTCAAGATAGAATACCAAATAACATTGGTTGATAAGCCAAAAAAGCCAATACAGATATAATTCTTGTTGAAGGCCTATACTATGCTTTCCATGTTTGTCAAGATAGAATACCAAATAACATTGGTTGATAAGCCAAAAAAGCCAATACAGATATAATTCTTGTTGAAGGCCTATACTATGCTTTCCATGTTTGTCAAGATAGAATACCAAATAACATTGGTTGATAAGCCAAAAAAGTAATGTTTACAAAAATACTAAACTGAAACATGAAAGAATGATCAGACCTTTAGTTGCTTGATATAAATAGAATGTTGACTCTGCAAATTCAGGGCGCAATGGATAATATTTTTCAGTAGGATGCAGCATCTGATGGTTCAACAAATACCTTGACATTGGTTTACAGTGCAATATGTTAATTTATAAAAGTGATGTACTCCTCTAGTCCTAAATACAAGACCCATTTTGTAGTGACTACAAAATGGGTCTTGTATTTAGGACCGGAGGGAGTGATAACAAAATGAGATGACTGCCGTACAAAAATAGACTTCAGATACAGAGTAACTCTCAGAAGCAGAATATACCTCTCTGGAAGCACTCCAAATTTCTCCCACACATGGTAGAACTCACGATGTGTTGAATTAGCAGCAGTAATGTCCCCAATAAGAACCTAGTGTCCATAAGTGACGGAAAAGGTAAGGCAGATAGGTCTCTATCAACTTGAAAATTCAGTAGTTAGCTATCAATGCTCAATTACATGCCTGTAGGCCAGGCCAAAATGCTTGAAGACTTGTAAGTTGCCAATAAGTTGCCCTTCCTGTCCTCATATCAGCTTCATGGTACCTGCATTAAAATATCAAGCTCAAGTTAATAACTATTGCAGACGAAGCAAATATACTTAATCGTATATTTCTGCCTATGGGCTATCAATTCTAAAGCACTGGATAAAAACATCTGATAGAGCATTTATACAGTTAGTATGGTAATACCAAGGACCATGTCTGAAATATTTCTGCACAGCAACATAAGCAGAATGAAACATTCTCCAGAAGTCTTCCTTCCCAAAAAGGATATGGGCTTTAAGAAGATACTCATAGAATGAATCAACCCCTAGAATATTTGAAAAAGTATCCAACGTCAAAAACATCAAGGTGACAAGGTCTGCCCATCAGTTTAATGGTCAAGACATCACTACGATATAAATCAAAATCATGTGTCAACAGCAGCAGACAGTTCACTATTTCCAAAATATGGACAATAGCATACAGCTGATTTATTGGAAAATCCATGAACTGAAAGACAAAGGATAGGCCAATTCAGGGTGAGCCTACCCGCTCCAATTCCTGATGAAAATTCTATCCATTCCCCAGTTTCCACATCTAGAGTAGTTCCAAATAAATTTAATGAACTCCTCATGCTCCATAGCTTGTGAAGAGCACGTAAAGCCACTGATTCATATATAGGATCACCAGTCAATTTTGATAAAGCACCCATTTCAAGAATCAAAGAACCTGCATTTAAACAGAAAATTAGAATTAGACACAAATAAAACTATCATTCTACTATACCCTAGTCTTAAAACACTAAACTAGACCTCTCACCACAACCCGAAGTGCTCGTTTCTGTAGTCTCATTCTCCATCACTCCATACTGTTCACAGAATTTGGCAATGGTGTAATCATATATCTTTCTTCTTTTTTTTTTGGGGGGGGGGTACAGAAGGAAGAAAAAACGAAAGGACAAAGCAATAGCCTATAATTTATATAGCTTGAGACTTGAAGACAATTCATTCAAATGCAAAGAATAACATATTAACAAAGCCCCACTCTTTTGTTCAAAAGAAGAACTTTTTAAGATAACTGAAACCTCATTAATAGGAATTTCGCCATTATTTTCTTTAAATAACGAGGAATAATAATGACCAAGACAGAAGAAAGTAGAGACATTGGGAGAGTCGGAGAGATGTTCATGACAACAGCCTTGGAGGAGTATTCCCTACTTCAAACAGTCAAAATGCTAGGCAACAAATTAAAGGAAACTATACAGTAAAGATAATGTCGTATGGGATTGTAAATGTGGAAAATGCATGACTTCAGCATGTTCCTTGAAATACCTTTAAGTTGATCCATGCATATGGCAAACCCGTGGGTGTATTAAATGCTGGCAGAAAGCGGTTCCCTAAATCTTCAGCCAGTACTAGCAGCTGATTTTTGTAGTCTCCTTGAAAAAATTATTTGCAGAATCTGATGCAAGAAGATGAGCAGAGACAAGTCCTCCAAGAGCTCTAATGTTGCACTGCATGATAATAATCAAGTGGTGGAACAATACCATTATCAGGCTTCAAACATCAAGTGTCACAAATAAACACTGGCATCTGGATGTCATTAAAAAAAACAATTAAAACCACCGTGCTCTCCAAACTACTGAATAAAAATTATTCAAGCAAATCCAAAATTTACCTCAAAAAGATTTATTCGTGCATCAACATCAAATGTTAGATTTTCAGAAAGCCAGAGCACTGCCCTCTTGAATTCAGTGCTGTTGCCCATAATAATCAGGCTAAAGGAGACAGGGCAATTAATATCAATTTACGGCGTCCAGTTCCAAAAGATGCAAAAGGAAGAAAACTCAGAAGAGATAACTATAGCTGTAAAATGATAACAACCTAACAATTCAAGCCATTGTGACCGTACCAATATACCTAGACAATGATTCAATAAGTGTAAGGGCTGATCCATTATAGTCTTGAGGCAAGTGTTCAAGCTGCAATTGTAAATCGTAAACAGTTACTTTGTGGTACTCCTCTAACAAAATTACCTCTGCCTTTCATAATCAACATGTAACTCACCTTCAAATTTCCGAGCTCACTAAGGGAGTTCGTGAATGTTTTGGTCAGAGGCTTTAGCTCATCATGCTGCACGAATACAGCAATTTAGATATTGTAAAGTAGGTGTGTGTCAGTAAATATAACAATGAACACAAGTAACTAACCGGGAATGCATGAGTCATGTAGTTGTCATAAGCATGGTAAAACCTAAAAGCAAGAGTAAAAGAAAATCATGGACAGTTAAAAATTTGCGGTAAAAATCCCAGGAAAACACATATTAAAGGAAATGCAGTTCTATCAAGTTTTTATTCCCCAAACAAAGTCAACATAAAAAGTGAAATTGAACAAGTAAATTAAGGAGAGAGAAAAGATCGAATCAGCATCAAACACAAAATGTAATTGCATTATACTAAACAGTGAAAATCCCTTGGGGCTAAAAGTATCATTCTGCCTCTTTGCTTAGGCTATCTTCACTTACACCATCAACCAACTACTGCTACAAGTCTCGCGTGAAAGATTGTATCCCAGAAAGTTCCGTTCAGAGATTTTTTTTTTTTGCCATATGCAAGGGGAAAAATCCAGCGCTAAACATCTTATGCATTGTCACTTTCCCATATTTCGTTGACATACAAAATACTCTCACCCTGCACTTCTTCCTATATGATCTTCCTCCTAAATTCAGGCACACCATTCCAACAGACAATAAAGTAACAAGAGTCAACTTAATCAAATCAAAATTTGCAAGATTGTAAGCTTACACACATGTCATCGAAAGCATTTCGTAGAATGACCACGAGAGCTAGAGATTGGTGAAGAATGAACTAATCATTTCAACTGGGATATATAAGATAAACCACTATCCAATCAAAATAATAAATTGAGATGAGGCGATTTGTGGGTCGTTAACATACATCTCGCGAGCTTTCTCTCTCATGCGTTTTTTCTTGGCAGCCCAACGGGATTGTGGTTCAGATACGGACGGGTCAGAAAAAGTCGAAAGTACCAAAAGGCACACTACAGCCCAACTCAAATATTTCCGACGAATCATAGCAATTTCGATCGAAATAGATGTAAGAGAGTTATGGGCAGGCAAGGTTTCAGGAAGAGGTAGAAGCGGATTTTGCTGCGGCGAAGAACCCGGGGGGAATACGATCTGGGAATGCTTTCCGCTTTGAGAAAAACCTCAAAGCCGACGAGGGAAAGTAAATAAGCAAACGAAAGATCAGGTACGAATTTTTTTGTTTTTGTTTTTCTCTTTCCAATTTTTGAAAACATTCTTTTGAAAAAAAAGCGAAGGTTTTCTAGATAAACCAAAAATATTAATTTTCATTTTGCAGATTTAAAAAACAATTATTCCATGTTTTTTTTCCTGCTTTAAAAATGAAAAATCAACACTTGACGAGAGTACGGAAAAGAACAAAAATAATGAAAAAACTTGTTAAAACTTAAAACCTGGCAACCCAGGTGACACTAAATACTAAATAAGAAATTATTTGTGAATTGAAACTCATGACTCCAATCTACTTTTTCTTCTTATATTTATCTCCTTTTTCTCAAAATAATTATTATAATAATAATAGTTCTAATCAATAAATTTTATTAATAAAAATATTTTAAAAAAGATAACATATATTTATTATAAATAACTAATTTAATTTATTTTTTTAATCTACTTAAATTAGTCAACTAGTTTTTATATTTAGAGTCCAAGATAATATGTTAAATACACGAGTTAAAGGGCAAAAAATCGAAAAACAACGTCAAAGAGAAATAGGCGGCATTTCTCTGGAGTCTGAAACAACGTGTGGTGAAGAAAAATAGAAAGAATGTCAGCACAGAATGGCGGTGTGGCAGAAAAGACCTGGGGCAGGGTGAGATGGAGTCTTGCGAATGTGATTTAACGTTAGGAAAGGGTTCATGTTGTGATTGTGGGGGGTAGTGTTAGCGAGTACTGACGTTGTCTCATCAACTATTTGTTTGTTGCTCCTAACGAAAATGTCAGCAATAGAGAACTGAAGATCAAAAATCAAGAGATTTATGATCTGAAGTCAAATAACGATCTTTCCTAATTGAAATTGGGCAGCCTAAAGAGGAAAAGTACAACGCAAGGAAGCTGCAAAAATTTACATATAAAATTACTGCTACCTTTTCTTTTTCGTAAAACTTATCATTGCTTCCATTCTACTCAAACTAAGCCCCTCATATCTTCCCCCAATGAAAATATCCGTTTGTTTCATTATATATCGATCGAAATATGCAATATTTATAATATTTTTATCATTATTTAAAAAATGACTATATTCTTGTCTTTTATTCCGGCCCCCAGGTGACATTTTGCATATTTAAAAACACTATTTTCATTTTACTTTATTCCATTGAATTGACTGTAATCATTGTTTGTTATGCTTCTATTATCCTCAATAGTTATCGTTTGTGAACAGAGTTGCAAAAGAAAAAAACCTGTAACCTACAACATATCTCCACACAAATCCATTGTCATGACCAGATGGGATTATTGGATTATAATGATAATCCATTAACAATGTTGTTCACAAAACAACTTGTAGATCTGATCCAATCCCCCTAGAAAAGAATCAGTTCATGAATATTTGGATGATAAGTTACTTTTCAACAAAACTACATTACCGAATTACAACGCCTGCATTCAAGATGCTGACAGATTTTGTAGTAAGACACTTAAAAGTGCATTCAATCATTTTGGATATCTTAATACCACCAAACAAACATCTTAAAAGCCGCATTACTTCCAAGACATCAGAGTCGAAGCGGCTGTACACTAACCAGCTCATAAAACTTCTAGGTTACATACGAATTATGAGCACAAGGCCTAATCCCCCACAGAAAAATGCAGGCCTTCAGAATCAAAATTGTTAAGTATTTGATATGCAGAGTTCATACTGAACGCTCACAGTATTTCAACAGAGGACAAGAGTTATCACAAGACGTTTTGTTAGGTTGGTTACCCCTTTTACTGGTACATTTATTACAGAGTTTACCATGTGTATACAGAAGACAGTTCAAGTCAAACATGAGTTCCTTTGGGATCCGGCGGTTTAGATGAAGATACGTCTTGTTTCTGTCTGCAAAAGCTGGTACCCACCCAATGGTTTTTGCAATCTCAAATATCTGTGTACATACATATTCATGTTTTACACTTGCAATGTGCGCGCGCGTGTGTATGGAACTTGGGGTGAAAGAGAAAAAGGAAATTGAACCTTTCTTTATGATACTGATAATAGGAAGAGGAAATCATACTTACATGTGTGTCCACAGGAAAATCATCTCGCTGAAGATTGAACATCAATACACAAGATACCTGTCATCAATTCAACAGTTTAAAGAATCTGTTACCACTAGGAAGAGGAGATAAAACACAGTAAACTCAACTGAATCTTAATTCTCATGGCCTTTTGTGTAGAAGATGTCATGATCTTCGAAGGTGCAGTTTTACTTTAGATAACAAGTACTGCGGATGTTGTTATTACAGCAAATTATCAAATAAAGAAAATGATTTCTACTATATCATATGAAAGAAGATGGACTTGCTGTTTGATCATTAATAAACTAACAGGTCAAGAAGTCTGAACTCTTATGTCACAGTATCATCCAAAGCAGCCGTAAAAAGTCCTTTTGCTCATTTTGGTACCTTTATTTCCCCTTTTCCGGGGGAAAAATAGTTCTAACACACAAATAATGGTATACAGAAAACTAATAAATATGGGCTGCTGATAAGTTAATTATGATTACCATGGCTAACTTTGGCCAAGCCAAGTTCAGGTAAAAACGGAATTCCCAGCATATCAGATAAGAGTAGGGGGCAAAAAAAAAAAAAAAAAGACAGCAGGCTTTTTCCTTTGGACATTAACAGAAATAGACAGCCAGGAACATTAATAGAAATAAGCAGCAATTCCATAACCAGTCATTTGGACCACAGAATGAAATAAGATTGATAGAAAAGTGATACTCATGTCCTTGGTAAAGGTATAATAAATATGAGAAACTATAACAAGGATGCAATAAAAATTGCATGTCATATTGGAATGCCCCTTCAAAAGGAATGGTGAGATTGTCAAATGTAAAACTGAGCCTCAGCCTTACTTCAGTTTTTTCTGTTTTTCTTTTTCCCTCAAGTTGCTACTTGTAGCCAAACTCCCTCATACTCACAGCCCAAGGACTAGCTGATACGAGAAAACCTATTGGATTGATTATCCATATGATCATATCCCAATCTCTTTGCCCTTAATTTCATGCATTGGATATTTTAGAAACAAATCACGCATGCACCCCCACAATGCTCTTTCTAAGACAATCTCAGGTTTCATAAGACAGTAACAAAACTTCATAACTAAGTTGAACAAAGAAATCAGACCTCACCATTCCCACATCTTTTCTTGTGGAGATCAACTCACAATTTTGAGAATCAAGGATTTTAAATGGAAAAAAAATTAAAATTGAAAACAGCTTATTTGCAGAAAATTGTTCCGCTCAAAGTCAAATTGCATATGCCAGATTCAAAATTTTACCAACTATTACCAGAAACTCAATTTCCCACAGTGCAAGAACTTTATAGCTATATTTAAGAGCATATTGTGGATGGAATGAGAGTCTTAGCATACGTAATGACGCAGACTCTAGGCAAAGGTAGAAATTTTTATCAAGAATTATTTGCACAATATTTCAATTCAGAAAGTGACATGACATTTTTCCGCATGCATACAGATTAGAAATAGTGTGCTGTATCAGCAATGGATTGGCCAGAAGAAGAAGAAGAAGACTTAATGACTTTCGTATATAGCTTTTTTTTTCCCCCCAGTCTTCCATATTAATAGCAATAAACATAAAGCAAGAACCTAATGAAAAAGATAAGTAGAGAGGATTACTGTCTTGGGACCAATTCCTTTGAAAAGAGATAGCTCAGACTTAATTTCATCAAGAGACAAGTCTCGCAAATACTCCAAGCATAATTTTCCTCTTCTCTCAAGCAAACAATTTAATAGATTCTTAATACAAGAAGCCTTAGTTGGAGCCAAACCACCACACCGAATGGCATCCTCCACATCCTTGGTGCCAGCACTAAGAACCTTCACCAGCCAAAAGAATTCAATCATTCCTGTATTCCTTGAACTTTAGATCAAAGCATTTGACGTAATTTAAGCAAAATCGTATTACGCAAAAGATAAAAATTTTCCAAATTCTGGAACCTGTAACACCCTATCATACCTATGAAGCGGAAGACCAAGAATGACAAGGGCTGAAGGGCAACTAATGATGAAAGGTATGGATACAGAGGACTCGATGCATCAGTTTATCTCTATATCAAGGGCTAGGACTAAAGGAGGAACACTGCCATTGTGCAGCTCAAACTCAGAACACAAAGTCTGCTATGGATTTCAGCCACCATGATAACAATAAAAATGTGATGAATTTAATATGGTTATAACCAGTCAATCCCAGACAAATCTCAGATGAGAATGGATGGAAACAGAATTGAGCTACTTATTCATGGTGCTGTCTACCACCCTCAGAACAAAAGTATTTGACCACTATTCCAGCATTGGTATAAAGATTCGCCACGGGTGATGTGGGTTTTTTCTGCCTTTATAGTGTGTACCGTGTAATTAGAAAACGTCAATTTTATATATAGAGAGAACGCAGAATGAGACCAAGTTAAAAGCTAAACAGACATCTTCCCACGTAGGAAAGGCGGATTTGAGAGAAGCAAAAGCCCTCTGGGAATTTGCTTCAGTAGTATTCTGCGAGAGCACGGTCCGAACCAAACCGTCCAGGACGCTCTCTTCTTCGGCAGGTAACCCAGTGGCGTCCTGTGCCAATTCCACAGCATCGTCCGTTGATTTTCTGCGATACTTGGCGAACTCTTGGGGAAAACCGTGTAGGGCCAATAAAGTGTCTCGGACGGCTCGGCATTCTTCGGGGTTGGGTCGTGCGTGAATTGGGTACGGATCTTTCAGGTTTTCAATGGCGCCATTTGTGGTTCTCGCAGATTTTGGTCGAGTCTCCAACGAAGATTTTAACTTCGACTCTAGACCACTCTCGGGCTGCTTCCTTTTGCGGATCTTTCCCATTCTTTGGATTCAAAGGAGACAGTATTATCGGTGTTCTGTTTTTACTAACTTTTAAGCGCTTATATATTTATTAAATTATTAATTTATTTGTTAAGTATTTAAATTTTGCCTAAAAATATTAGTCATTTAACTTTATACAAGGTTTTACTTTGGTCCCTTAACTTTAAAAAGTAAACTTTTAGTTTTCTAATCCTAAAGTGTTAACAAAAAATAATGATATTGAGCTCTTGAATGCTGATAAAATATTACTCCTCCGGTCCTTATTATAAGACTCTATTTGACTTTTTATTTGGTCCTAATTATAAGACCCCAATCCATTTTTCTCTTATATTTATGCATTTTTTTCCAAGATAATCCTTCTAATAATAATAGTTTTAGCCAATATACTTAATTAGTAAGGATATTTTAGGAATGACAACACTTATTTATTATAAATAACCAACTTAACTTACTTCCTTAATCTCCTCAAATAAGTCAATTGGGTCTTATAATTAAGACCGGAGGAGTACTAAATACTAACTTATTAAGTTTAATATTCAAAATGACTATGACTGTTACAAAAAATTATAATTTAAAAATAATAATTTTGGAGCTAAAAGACTAAAAGTATACTTAAAGTTAAGGGATCAAACTAAAACCTTATATAGAATTAAAAGACCAAGTGTATACTTTAGCCTTAAAATTAACAGACTAACAAATGAGAGATCCACATTCCAGAATCCAGATTATGAAGATTCAGAAGAAGCTCAAAGCTGCTGATCAGAGGGAAAAAAGAAACAGATTTTTAAGCTTCGGTCTGCAAGTAGGCCCACCAATTGATATTTACCTCTACAAGATCAATTTGCGAGTTCGTAGTCCCTCTAGACAAAGCAAGCGAATAGAAAGTGAAATCAACGTCCCCAATATCCGAAGGCCCTCACAGAAAAACATTACGTTCTTATCCGTGGCTCTTGTTGACTCGAGAAGACCAGTGCATAGTTTGGGAAGACCACTATAATTTGACAACTAATTGACTTGGCAGATCAGCTATTAAGATAACGTCCCCTTTTGTTCAGTTGGCTCATGTCTAATAAACACATCGTAAATGCCCAGTCTCAGGCAAGCATCGTGGCTCCTGCTAGTGCCTCTGCTCTTTCATTTCCTGGTCTGTTGTCTTAGATTGGTATTCTAATGTGTCCTTTTTAAATTCCCAACGTCAGTTTGTTGTTCTAAGCTCTCAAGTATCTTGGGTTATTTAGCCATGTTTCATCCTTTCTGCGCTGAACCTTTTGGGATCTCTGTTTCATTCGAATCAAGGATCATGACTTGGATACCAATAGGCCTTGAGATTCTTGAGCGGTTTGGGAGGTAAATCCTGAGGTTAGAAGAGAAAGACCACAAGAATGAATCCCATCATTAAAAGAACACATTCAAAAAATGACCAATTTTTGGTGTTGCCTGTCAACGTGTCTTCTACATTTCACCAATAATTACTTACAACTTCCCACTGCTTTAAACCAACCAATAAATGCAACTATTTACCAAACAGAAATATACCCAACACAACCATCAAGTCTAAAATACATTCGAGTTCGCAATGTTGTCATTCCTCCCTCGGAACCGATTCCGGTTTCGCCCGCCCGAGTCCAATTCAAAATTCGACCCGTTTCCATCTTCCCCGTCTTCTCCTCCCGCCCGTATCGTCTGCACTATCTTCCTCGCTTTCTCTCTGGCTCTCTCTGTACCTCTCTCTTCAATCTCTTTCAACACCTCCATGACCCTTCCCTCCTTCGCCACTGCTCTGAACCTCAAGCTTCCGTGGCTGAGCGCATACAACGCAGCAACACAGTTCTCACGAGTTGACTCCGAGTCCAACTCTTTCCCCTTTAGTAAACTCACTAAGCAATCCACTGCATTACCGTCCAGCATCGCCGATTGTCCCTCCGTACACACAGCAAGGTTACAAAGAATTAGCAATACTCGGCTCGTCAATTTACCTGATCTCAACATCGCCAGTAGGGTCGGAATTGCCCCGAGTCTCACGAGCTTGAACCGATTGCTTTGTACTAACGTCAGATGGTACAACGCGAGCGCCGAGTCGTTTCGGGTACGCTCCGACTCGGATCTTAGCGCGTGCATGAGTGGCTGAAACGCGCCGAGAACTCCGATGGCCATTTTGTTGTCGTCGTCTAAAGCTAAGCTGAAGAGGGCGCCCGCTGCGTGTTCCTGCGATTCATCGGATCCCCCCTTCAAGACGTCAATGAGATAGGGGACGAATCCCCGCCGAACTATCTTCACCTTATTGGATTTCTCGAGGGAGAGATTGACCACCGAAGCGACGGCGTTTACTTGAACAACGGAGTACCTGGAGGCTATCAAAGATCGTAGGGCGTCAAGCAATCGGGGAGTGCAGAGCGAAATTCGGGTGTCCTCTCGGTTCCTCGTGATGCTTCTCAGTGATATTACGGCGTCTTCTTGCTCGAAAATCTCACTACTTTTCATCTTCGAGACTAATTTGCCCTCTTCTTCGGAAATTGGGCCATTAGGGTTTTGAAACTCCGATTCCACGGTTGCGGAAGAAGACGACGATGAAGAGTAACAGGTTGGACGAGTGGTTAGATGCAGAGGCGTGCCGGGACTGGGCACGATGATTACGGATTCCTCAGACGAGCACGAATCGAAGTGGTTAACTCGAGGACCCAACTCGGTGGCGGCGTGGGAGAAAATCACCGGCGGGTTGTCCGCCACCGCCTTCAGCAATTCCCTCTCTGAAACCCTTAAATCTGGCGAGTCCTGCTGGGACGCCATTGATAAGCGTACAGCCCCCTCGACCGAGCTATATTCAGGCGCGCAAGGGAGTTCCACACCGGAGCTTTTGCACCAATTGGAGATGGTACTTCTGATGGCCAAATTGGGAATAACTGTGGAGAAATCGGGTCGAGACCCATCTTCGAGGCTGGGGGAGAAGTTCAAATCCCTGCAAACCTGAACGGCAACGCGTTCGAATGTATGACCCGAAGCAACAACAACGGGGTCGGACATGAAAGTCCCAGAAATTGGACATAGAAACTCCTTTGGGGGATGCTTTGGTTGAAGCTTGGAATCAGAGGAGGGAGAAGAAGAAGAAGAACGATGGAAGGAAATTCTCCACCTTCGCTTGCCATTGCCACCACCCATTTCTTCAACGACTGGGGTGGACTTTTTCCTCGGATTCTTCTCCAATGAGCAACTCAGAGCAGCTCAATATCTTGCGAGTGAGTTGGGAGGTTGTACGAGGAGCACAGGTTGAAGAAGACCGGATCTTCAAGTGGTTATGACCCCAAGACTTAGTATGCAGTGCAATTCTCTGATTGAGTACGACAGCTCTGGAGTTGATAGGGTTCTTCCTCCTCGGTTTTCTCTTCCATTTTTAACCTCATTTCGCGGGGGATATTTTTATGGCTGGGGGGCTGTTCTTTTTCCGCACTGACGAGGGTATTTATGAAACTTAAGTAAATATACAGCTTTTAATTAAAAATGAAAATAATACTCGTGTTACGTTATTTAGTTTTTTGGGCCCCTGCAAGCTGCCAGTTGGAGTGAGGTGGTGGGGATGATTATGCCTTTGTCAAATTGACCAGTCAACTATGCGAATTTGTCTTTGCTGGAATTTCATTCCCCTCAGTTCCTGCATCATGCCGCGCGCATTTTTCTTTTTTATTAAAAAAAAAAAAAGAAGAAACTATGGGATTAATTTTAAATTTATTATGAATCAATACAAAACATACTTTCAGGCCAAAGAAATACAAAATATATTACCCTTATCCTAAAAACTAACTACAAAATAAGTTTTATATTTAGAACAGAAAAAATATCATATTAAAAATAAATTTTGCAAATGCATAGTGAGTATTGTTCAAGAGGAAAACGTCATATGTAAAAATGTTTTGAAGCATTATAGATGGTAATCAATGACCTAAAAACAAAATGAAATTTATAAGGGAGAATAAAGTGTGGCTTTTTGGCTGGTAAGGTGGGAAACAGCAAAATTACCAAATGCGGGTAAACCACGCGAAGGAGGACACTGTTTTGAAAGATAACTGCGAGTGCCAGATGGTTTTAGTTTATATGGCATTTCTTTTCCTTTTTTAACACCTCATTAATGATACTGTTGTATATAGGTGAGTAGTTTTATCCGTAATCTATAGATACTGAAATTCGTACAGATTTTATATTTTTCATTCATATTAATTTTCTATGTACTCTATGGAATTTAAGATTAGTTATAATATTTATTGTCCATGAATGGTATGGCTTTGATAAATCTTATATTGATGGATATTCTATTTTCCCATTGAGAACCCTTCATTTCCCATTATCAAGTTTTCAAGTGGATAGTCCTAATTATGTTTGTTTCTTACATGAGAAGTTTCCATCATTAGTGAAAGCACAAAATGTCTTTTAAAATGAGTAGACTTTCTATTCAATAGAGAATAATAACAATAAAGAAAACTCCTTTTTTTGGGGGGTGATGAACTATAATCATTCATTTATATCTTTGCTCAGAATATATACTCCTCCGGTCCTTAATATAGGACCCAATTGTTGAGTTAGTTTTGGTCATAAATATAAGACATATTTCTCATATTTATCAGTTTTCTTTAAATTACCCCTATGGATACTCTATTAACCATAATCAAGTAGAAAAGAAAGAGGGGGTATTAAGAAAGATGATTATAGTGTTTTAGAAAAAATGTGTCGCATTTCTTATAATTAACTAACTTGCCTAACTTCCTTAATCTAATCAAATTAGTTAAATGGGTCTTACATTAAGAATCGAAGAAGTATATATATATATGTTGTGCTGGGCTATGGTCAACTCTTATTACCTAAACACACAATAGACTATGTATGAGTTTGTATATATATAAGATGATTAATTAAATATTATTAAAAAATGGGGGAGATTATATTGTAATTATGTTTTGGTCACATGTGTGTTTGCTGGAAACTTGGAATGTAATGGAGCGCTCGATTGCCTTCCCCGCCTT